ATGCTGGAATGGACCATAGCAATGACTCACCAATCCCACACTTAACATTCGGAGGACCACTGAAGTCACAGGAAAGAAGCAGAGCCTGGATGGCTTACTGCAGAAGTGAGCCATCAGGACTAGCAGTAAAAGCAGCGCCCCACCTCGCCCCCTCCTTCCAGGCAACAGGAAGAATGGCTTGATGAAGGCCTGGCTGATTTGACTTGGGTGATGACTACTAACAGATCAGCATGGCTGGGCTGGGGAGCACCCAGAGAGCTCATAAAACATTCATTTTGGACGCATCTATGAAGGGCATCCAGAATCGGTTGATTTGAATTAGTAGACTGAGTAAGCATCTTTCTCACCATGGAAATGGGAACCTGGGCCTGGAAGCAACGAGACAGAGGAAGGACAATGGTCTCTGCCCTTGAGCAGCAGCTCTCTAGCTCTCGGTCTCCAGATCCAGACTAGACCTATGTCATCAGCCCAACAGACCTTGTCTTGGGTTGGAACTATACTGAAGCCAGGCTTCCCCCAGCTGCTCCCACCCTGTGTCTGTCTGCACCACAGGTGGCAATTACAGGCTCATTCTTGGAATATATGGGGCTCCTCTAGCGGACAACTTGACTGACAACTCCGGAAAAGAGCCTTGAAGAAGTTCTTGTGGAAGGGCACTGTCAAATGCACCGCTATCAGGGCCACTTCTGCCCAGCCCTCGGCCCCCTCCATCTCTCCCTTAGGCATCACAAACAGCTGTCCAACCTTTGCCGGCTACCTCCCCTATTTACAGAAGGACATTAGTGGGAGGGCAGACCAGCCCCTAAGCAAAGGAAAATTGCACCCATCAAACAAAGGAGACTTTATTCAAACTGTTGCAATAAGGAAATGAAGCTGAATGTAACTGCAAACATGACAGAGACCAGTGGGAATTTGTAGCCAAGTTTTAAGGTGAGCAATTTTCTCAGGTGGAAAATTACCAAGAGAAACTGATTAGGCATCAAGACTGAAAAAGGTGCCCTGAATGGATGCCGGGGGTGGGATCCTTAACAGGTTCGGATTTAGTTCTAACTTGGATGAGTCCTAGTCAGAAAATGGGCTCAGAGGAGCAGAGAGGGAGGTTTGGCTGTCAGAAACCACACAACCCAAGGCAAGACATCTGTCCCATGATGCCAGCCTCCACCCAAGGGTTGGGGAAATGAACTTTGAACTGGGTGTGAAGTTTTAAATAAGCTTTGAATTTGAACTGAAATGGGGTCGTTTTGATTTTTTCCTACTGAGTGTTATATAACTTGGCAGTGATACTGTTATTGGACCCTATTTTACAGCAGGTGGAGAAGGGCTGGTAGGAAAAGCCTTCCCCTGAATAGGCAAAATAATGGATCCCAAGATGTCCAAGACTGCTTTAAGCTATTGCACTAGTGGGGGGTGGGAGGGTCAGGTTTCAAGAATCCTAAGAACTAAGTCTCCAACTGTTAGGTGGGAACACCCGCTGAAAAAGAATGCTTGAGCGAGCATTTAAAATAACAGGTGGGATTCCAGGGTGCTAGCAAGGTCTAAATATCTGGGGGACAGTAATTGACCCAGGTGAATGACATCCATGCCTTGTACAGCACTTTCTACACAGAATTCAGCTCCCACAGGACTCCATCCATAAGTGACCCCATCCACCATCTTGCTTCCAGGGAGAGGAGTTGAATCCAAGAAGTTCCCAAACCATAAGGGGCAGAGAGCCATCAGATGCTGTGTGAAAGATGAATCTTCATTTGGAATCTCAAACCCTGGAGAGGAAGTCTGCAACCACTGTTGGAGAGTAGGCACTGCCTAACATGGGCTGCAGCCCCCAGCCCAGGAGACTGCAGGCATGGGGCTCAACACGGGACATGGAAGGAAGCCAATTACAGTGACATCCAGATTACCTGCCGTCCCTATGCTTCCAGCACTCCCAGTCATCTAGAACTACCTTCAAGGTGTCAGCCTATCAGATTCGGGTGCTAAAATGAGATGTGCTTCTTCTGACACCTTACATGGAAAGGGAAATGACACCAGTCTCAATGAGCTATTTGGGGGACTAAATGAGATGAAAATCAATTCTGCCCTAAGACTTGTTTCTAAAATACAAACTTGATCCTATGCAGATGATGTGCTGAGGAATGACATTAGTCTAGGACAGCTTGGATTTTTGCTTCTGCATTTTTGCCCATGAGAAATATTAGATGCTCACAGGCAACTGCACCCAGCTAAACAAGGATGCATAGAACACACACACAAAACACACGACATACCCCAAACATCTGTCAGCCGCTGCCATGTAGCCCATGTGCTCTGGACCCCATCCAGCCAGCCAGCTTCAGACTATGGCTCCCTATATCTTCACAATGCATGAATTGTTACCAGTTTATTAAGCTTATATGTCTTTATTTCCATTTGTCATCAATGGTATATTTGAATGTCATGCACCTAGCCCATCTTTCCCATATGCCCCATGGTTGTGAAGTTTCCCTTGGTGTATTACTAGAGACTAGAAAATCATTATAGCAAACTGGCTACCTATGTAAATGTCAGCTGCTACTGTTGGGATTACCATTATTATTGAATCTCCAGCACTAAACAAAGCTTTTTTTTCAAAGCTTTTCCTCATTTTTATCCTCATGCTTTCCACAGCTTATATTTCTAATAGCTCCTAAAAGAAAAATTCAGGTCCCAGAATATCGAATAACATGCCCAAGATCACAAAGCAAGTCCCTGACAGCTTACTTAAATGCCCTTCCTCTATAATGAGATTGATGGCTACTTTAAATGCTATCCTAGAGCCTTCATCCAGTGGCTGATGGAAGCAGAAACAGAGATCCACAACTAAACACTGAGCTGAACTCTGGAATCCAGTTGCAGAGAGGGAGGAGTGATGAGCAAAGGGGTCAAGACCAGGTTGAAGAAACCCCCAGAAACAGCTAACCTAAAAAGAGGGAGCTTACGAACCCTGGCTGATAGCTGGGAAACCAGCATAGGACTGTTCCAGACCCCCTGAATGTGGATGTCAGTTTGGAGGTCTGGCTAATCTATGGGGCCTCTGGTAGTAGATCAGTATTTATCACTAGTACACGAATGGATTTTTGGAGCCCACTCCACATAGAGGGGCACTCTCTCAGCCTAGACACACGGGGGAGGGAGGGTCTAGGCCCTGTTCCAAAAAATGACAGACTTTGACGATCCCTCCCATGGAAGGCCTCATCCTCCCTGGGTAACTGAAAAGGGATGGGATAGGGGATAGGTGGGGGACAGAGGAGGAGGGGAGGGAGAGGGAACTGGGATTGACATGTAAAACAAACTTGTTCCTAATGTCTTCCTCTCCCCTCCTCTTCTCTCCTCTTTCTCCTAACTCCCTCTCCCCTCCCCCCATGCTTCCAATTTGCTCAGGAGCTCTTGTCCCTTTCCCCTTCTCAGGGGGACCATGTATGTCTCTCTTAGGGTCCTCCTTGTTTCCTAGCTTCTCTGAAGGTGTGGATTATAGGCTGGTAATCCTTTGCTCTATGTCTAAAATCCATATATGAGTGAGTACATACCATGTTTGTCTTTTTGTGACAGGGTTACCTCACTCAGGATGGTTTCTCCAGTTCCATCCATTTGCCTATGAATTTCAAGATTCCATTGGTTTTTGCCACTGAGTAGTACTCCATTGTGTAAATGCACCACATTTTCTCTATCCACTCTTCAGTTGAGGAGCATCTAGGTTGCTTCCAGGTTCTGGCTATTACAAATAATGCTGCTATGAACATTGCTAAACAGATGTCCTTGTTGTATGAATGTGCATCTTTTGGGTATTTGCCTAAGAGTGGAATTGGTGGATCTTGTGGTAGACTGATTCTCATTTTCCTGAGGGTGGAACCAGTATTTATCCCTAGTGTACAAATGGACTTTGGGAGCCCATTCCACATAGAAGGATACCTTCCCAGCCTAGACACATGGGAAAGGGCCTAGGCCCTGCCCCAAATGATGTGACAGACTTTGATGATCCACCATGGGAAGCCTCACCCTCCCTTGGAAGTGGAAGGGGGTGGGAGACATGGGAGGATGGGAGGGAGAGGGAACTGGGATTGGTATGTAAAATTGGATTGTTTTTAATTTAAATTTAAAAAACCTGCCTCTTGTCTTCAAATACACACCAAAGCTGTCAAGCAAAGTGCATAGGTGAAGGCAACCATTTGTGAGGAAAATAAGAGGAAAGACATTTAGTCACAAGAGGTCCCTGAACCAAGAATCTGAGAGGAGCTCAGGGAAAGGGGGAAATTATAGGAAGAGGAGAAGTCACTGGGTAGCAGGGGTTTCATCTGGAGACCACAGAGGCTGAACAGTCACAGGAAGGGTGAGTGACTGACAGAATGAACAGTAAGGAGTGGTGGGGATGATGGTAAACTCAGGCCCCACCAAAAGCAGTTTCTGCCAGCTCTCACCCATCCATGACCGAGTAGATTCAGTCTGATATTTTTCAAAATGAGACACAAAAACTCCTACTTTTGTAAAGCTATGGTTAGTATGACTCTGTGTGTATGTATGTCTGTGTTGTACATGTATGTGGAGCACACATGAGTGTGCAGGCTTGCACTCCTGTACACACAAAGTTCAGAGCAGGACATTGCTTGTCCTCCTGCCTCACTCTAGGCCTTACTCCCCGAGACAGAGTCTTCCTCACTGAGTAGGAAGCTTGCCATTTTCCCTTGACTGACAAACAGGTTCTTGGTATCTGCCCGTTTCTGGCTCTCCCCCACATAAGGTCACAGCCATGTACAGTTCTGCACAACTTTTGGGAGGTGCTGGAGACTCAAACTCAGATTCTTGTGCTTGCAAAGCGAGCACTCTTATCCAACAAACTAATTCCCAGCATCAGGTTTGCTTATTTATTTGTTGTTAATGTTATAGCACGTTTAAAATTTTTCAAGCAGGCTCAAGCCAGCTAATACCCACCCTCCAGTGAAAGGCGCTGCTAAAGTCTGGTACCCCACTCAGAGAAACATGAACTCTGATGGACACAAAATATGTTATCATTTATTGTCAATTTCTGCAAAGACACATTTAAGCAACAAAATATACATTTGTCAACCTTTTAGAATTTGTTTTATACATTAACAAATACAATGTGCTACCATAGCAATAAATTAAATGTACACTATTTACATTACATAGGCAGTCGGGATCTACAAATCGCCTCCTCACTGAGAGGAAGCAAAGAAAAGTCATCGTCACAGGGTTCACTTCCAAACTACACCTCATAGGTTCTACACAGGCATCTCTTCACGTGGAGACATCGGCACCCTGGGAGCTGGAGGTCAAGGTGACATTACAAGGAGGAAGAGTTGGCATACACGCTAAGGAACGAGAAGGGGAATGTCACCCTTCCGAGTGGAAATGTCACAAAACCAAAGACAATGGCAACTAATTCCAGTCTTCCAGCCAACCACACCCTCCCCAGGGATGGTAAGGCCCAGGCCAAGGCCACTTTCCCAGCTGCTGTTCACTAGGCAGACTGCCCTGGGCTCTGGGGCTGTCTTTCTCCCAAGGGAGAGCACAGCCCAGCTGAAGAGACATGGGGTTGGTGTGAGCAAGGAGCTGGTGGTGAAACAGACACCCGAGCTGGCAGGATGCCTCCAAGGCCCTCTACCAAGGGGTAGGAACAGCCTTGTGCACTGTGCCAACCTGCCGTGCCTTTGATTGAGGGGTAACTAGAAGCTGGGCAAAGAGCATGGGGGTCCAGAGCATGGCTGACTAACCTGGTCACTGCTGGCCCAGAAGCCATAAGCTCTATCTGAACCCCAGGCACTCCCCCACAACACAACTGTCTTTGCAGACTAAGAAACAATGGACAAAAGGTAATGTTTGAGTTGGCACCTGAAAGGGTCAAAGGAAGGAAAATGAAACCACCTGTGTCCTGCCTAGTCACCTGATCTGGAGAGGCCTGGGGTATAGCTCAGGGCAGGGTATTGGCTCGCTCAGCATGAGTAGGGCCTTTGGGTTCATTCCCAGCACCGCCAAAAAGAGGGAAGGATAGAGAAAGCAAGGAAGAGAAGATAGATCAGAGAATTAGTTCCTTTTATCACTCTCTGTCCTGATTGAGAACAATGAAACCAGCAGTATCTAATGCATCTATGTCCAGGTCACTTTGCCCCGTCACTGAAGACCCAAGAAGCACTTTGCTGAAGTCCTTCCCCATCCATTTCCTTCACTCAAGCCCCAGATGTCTCACTGACCAAGATTTTTCATGATGAAAACTAGGCACGGTTGAGACCCTATCAATACCCTCCTCCAACCAGGCACCTCCCTGCCAGGGTAGAAACCCCAGCTAACAGGCTTCCCCCAAACCCAGGCCTAGGAAGTGCAACTGTTTACTCCACCAACAGTAAGTACAGTTGGTACACAGCAAAGGGCCCGAGGCTCTGAGTTTAGTAACAGCTTTGCCCACTAGGTGGCAGTGTGGCTTCAGCCAAGTTCTTTCTGCTCATCGGGAGGATGAGATGGTTGGATGAGATGTAAACAGTCCAGAAGGCTTGAGTATCAAATGGTGCCCACAAAACTAAACCACAGGTTATTTTCCAAGAAACACCATTTGACATTCAAAAATCACAGACAGAAACTCTGGCTAAGATCTTCTATCTGGTTTGATGTATCAACAGAGCTGGAGGCATCTGGGGGCCTATTAACACCTGCAAGATATAGTTTCTTCAGTGAGTCTGCAATCCCCAGAGCCAGACTTGTGACCAGGAGAACCCCTAGTGGGGGTAACAGTGGAACCCCACAGACAAGCAGAAGCTTCATCTACACAGACCCAGTCGCATGAAGGAACTTCAGCAAGACTCTAAAACCTAAGACTGGGAACAACCACAGAAGGAAAAAGTGGATCAGAGTGGAGGGCGGGGGACAGCCTCCCATCCAGAGGGCTCAGAGGAGGCCAGGCCCTGCCACCACTCTCCTGCTCAGCAGAGAACTCCAGCTGGACTGGTGGCACAGACGCTGGAAGCCGCGAGATGGACCTGCCAGATAGAGAGGCATGACCAGAGGACAGGAGCATCTCAGATCCTGCCCAGAGTATCTCAGCAGCAAACCAAAGATGAAGACCACAGCCCGGTGCCTCTCAGTTCCTCTACAGTCATCCATCCTGCCCCCCGGCCCAGAAGCAGAGGCAACACGTGGCCTAGAGGCCATGCCTGCAGAGAAACAGGCAAGCAGTGGGGACAGGACTCCGGCTATGACAGTGCTGGATAACCTGGAAGCTCCTGAGGACCAGACCATAAAACAACACAGCACAACCACCAAGCAAAGGTAAAACCATCCCACCTAGAGAAGGGAGCCAGAGTCCTGCAGTGGTTTCAAAGAAAACACAGTTTGACCTTTCAAGTTCAAATAGACTCCTGCCAGCAGAACACAGCCAGGATCCACCCGCCTTCTTCCAGCAGTGGGTGCCGCTAGGCTGGCTTTTAATAAAAGCTAAATAGACATTCTGTTGACCTTCTAACTAGAACAAACCTTGCCAGACTAGTATTTCACATGAGCAGGTTTCCCAAGTGGAGTGAAGGCTGCAAGTAAGTGTGTGGGGAACGAAGGATCAAAACTGTGCTCCGATGACAAAAGCAGCGGGGACAAAGTTACAATACAGCCCCAGAGGCCGTGTCGCCCTTCTGTACTCTGGCTTGGGAAGAGAAGCCTAAGCAGACAAAGCACTTGGTGGGGAAATCTTGTCATCTGCTCACTGAAGCAGGAGCAGAGAACCAGAGCAGCCCTGTGCCAGGGACCTATGTGTACTTAATGGGGCGGGATCTTCAAGTGCCTGTTGCTTAGACTCCGTGTTTAGCCTGGCAGACACTCCACCCCATACCCAGCAGCTGAACCGCTCTGCAAACCCAGAAGGCTGAGGAGCCAAAGGGAGCCTTCAGGATGAGCAGGCTCACCCAGGGAAGGCGGCCACGGCTACGGGTGCAGATGGTCTGTGGTGTATAAAGCGCAGGCTCATGGGGCCTGGCTTCAGGAGCCCTGCAGATGGGATAACTTCCTGGAGGCCTGCAAATGGAGATGGGAAGAACAGGACTGGGGGCTGAGCCTAGAAGTTCACGGGGATGGAGGGGCATCATACTGTTCCCAATGCTAAGTTCAGCTGGCACATACCGCCCTGACCACAACTTGTCAAGTCACCCACACTACATCTCTCCCCTCTGTCTCACACAAGAGATGGACTGAGCTATGCATTTTCTGAATTCTCACAGAAGTGCAGAGCTGGACTCCAGATGAGCCTGCCCATTTAGAAGCTTTCCTCAACCAACAAAAGTCCCTGCGCTGGCCGTGCGTTCGCCCTAGACTCCTCACACTCCCAGATGTCCACTCGATCATAGGGAAAATATCCACTCAAAGGGAAAAGCTACCAGGGCTTCTCTCACTGTGAGAATGATCAGCAGCTTGTGTAAAACGAGAAAGGAAAACCCTTGAGACCTTAGTCAAGGAAGCATGCAGCCAGATCCCACACACAACCGGCTCTGATTCTGAGCTTCCACCAGCCTGAGCCCTCCGTAAGGAGACCCTAGCAGCAGGAATAGTGGCCCCTAGGCCTGGGCCTACAGATGTGTCAGAAGTGCTTATCACAGGAGCAGTGAGATACAGCCTGGAGGATGCTGGGAAATTCCTGAAAAGCAGCCCTTCCGCCATGTCCAGGAAGGCACTGCACTGTGACATTCTGCAGTCATCTCTGCTCCTCACCACACAACCCCCTCTGTCTCTGGAGCAGGCGAGCTCCCCAACTTGTCACTGAGCCCCCTGGGAACCAGAATCCCCCTTGCCCAACTCTTTTCCAGCAGGTAAAACAAGATGACAGTTGACTTAGATAGCCGGTCACATCCGGAGGTCAGGAGCAGAGGTTGGGGCTTTCAGGTCTGTGGAGAAGGAGCCAGCTGGTCTGCTGGGCAGGTGGCCACTGAGACAGCAGGCCTGAATGGTCAGAGTAGTGGATGGCACCCCCAAACCGCTGGGATAGGAGCCTTCTGCAGGCCAGAATCAAGACTTCCCTGAGGATATAAGAAAGGGGAGACGGAGAACAAGCACTGGGTACAAGGGGGAGAAAACAGGATGGAGTCATAATGGGGAACCCACTTGCCCATGTGTACACTCAGGATAATGAGGGTACCAAATAGAAAGGGGAGTTAGCCCCAGAAGCTGGGTGTGTCCCTCACAGCAATGGCTGGATAGGGGCATCTCATGTCATATGGGGAAGATATATTCCAGCCTGGAGCCTTGGCCAAAAATAAAAGGAGACACAGATTGCCTGCAAACAGGAAAGCAAGGGGTAAACTGGGGAATTTCTCCCTCCAGGGAAGAGAGTGAGATTTCAGCTACTTCCCCTTCTAGCTACTACAACCAGCTCCGTTCCGTGTGGGAATCTATCCCAACGCCACTGGACGACCCTTCCCAGGAACTGTTCTAAGCCCCTCTTTCCCCTAGAAGGCCTGGAGATGTCCATCAATGGTAGCCCTCAGCATCCCTCAGCTGACAGTCTCTCTGAGGCCACAAAGCCTCAGACACCCTGGGGACCACTCGGGGTCACTGTAAGACACTCACCTTGGACAGGGGAGGACTCCGCTTTCCCATTAGTGACCCTGCTTAAGAAACATACAGGAATGTCTCAAAAGCCAGACAACAATAGCCCCCACCTGCAACGTCTAAGCACTCAGCTCCCAACAATCGGAAGGGACTTGGGCTCCCAGAGGCCAGCAGACCCACTTCACATCTGGGCAGGGGCTCTATTGTAGGAGTGGCACAGATGGTGAGTCCTGAGCCTGGTGGCCTGCACCATGTGAGAACAAAAACCATCACCCCCAGGTCTAGCAGAACATCTCTAGTGGACACTCTCTGAGGTGATCTCTCCAGCCCACTGGAAAAAAGACTGGATACGGGGGTCCTGGAATGTGGGGTGTAGGGCTCACGGGGCCCTTCCTGAGCTGCACACTCCATCCTTACCGCACTGGAGCTAGCATGGCTGAGTTTATCAAAGCGGAATTTCAGGTTTGACCTCGGGGAGTTTCTGCTTTTGGCATCTAAGGAAAGAGAAAAGATGTGGATATTAAGGAATTAACCTAGCAAAATCAGAACAGTAAGGGGGCCTTCAAGAGTGGACCTCAACCTCCCCCAAAGTGTGCTAACAGTGCTCAGACTCTGAGAAAATGGTGTGCCCTAGTTATTAAGCATGTTCATAAGGAAACAGACCACATTCAAAGAAGATAACAGATATTCAAATTTTGCCATTTCCTCATTATATTGCCAGATTTTGCTGTAATCTGTGCCCCCGTATCCGCTGTATCCCTTTATCAGAAATTCACTAAGGTAATAGGCTATTCATCTCTCCTCAACCCCAAGCTCAGGGGTATCTCAGTGGGAGCTTGAGATCAATCTTGATGAGAGTATTAAGACTACTGAAGTTGGCAATGTTACAAGCCAAAGCTTGGCTTACAGTTTTGCTGTCTAGATTTGATGACTATCCTATATGCCATTCTAGAACCTTCATCCAGAGACTGATGAAAGTGTTTACCATGATTTATGAATGAGCTTTGGGAGCCCATTCCAAATGTAGGGATGCTCTCTCAGCCTGGACACTTGGGGAAGGGCCTAGGTCCTGCCCAGGATGAAATGACAGACTTTAGAAATCCCCCCCCAAGGAGGGCCTACCCTCCCTGGGGAATGATGTGGGGATTGGGTGGGGGGACTGGGAGACTGGTGGAGGAACAAGGGAGGAGGAGTGGGAGAGGGAGCTGGGATTGACATGTGAAACATTCACATTTCTAACTTAAATAAAAACATATATTGAGAAAAAATTTTAAAAAGGAACCAATGGAAAATAATAATACATGAAATAAGCCTGGGAAGGTGTTGTGCCTGTAGCCACTTCATTGTGAAGAGCAGCAGAGGAACCACCATGCTCCCAGTGTTTGAAAAATACTACCAATTTCAGCAAAAAGGTTATTTGTACCACTGACGAAATGAGTGTTGTCTTCCTGATTTAAAATGTCAACATAGGCAAAAATACCCATCGACACCCACATGGGAACTAGATTTGACTGTCATCTGCCACCATAAACAGGTACATGAGTTAGGTAAGCACCAGTGGAACTGTTCTTTGAGAATCATATAGACACATAAGACTCAGTAAAGAATATTGTATATTTTGCCATTATTTGCAATTATTTTTCAGATCCATCATATTGGTAAAGTTTACTGTGTTCATGCAAAAAAAGTGCATATGCACATACACACAAGTCCACATACATGCATGTACACATGCATGCTATAAGACCCTCCCTGAGTGATCCTGATGATTCCCTTTTTGTCCCCAGAAGCTTGAGTATGAATGACCAGTGACAGGGTCTACAATTACAGAATACTGCATGTCTGAGTGTTTACAAATGGTTGACTGCGTGTCCAAGTGTTTACAAATGGTTGACTGGGTGTCTGAGTATTTACAAATGGTTGACTTGTGTCTGAGTGTTTACAAATGGTTGACTGGGTGTCCGAGTGTTTACAAATGGTTGACTGTGTGTCCGAGTTTACAAATGGTTGACTGGGTGTCCGAGTGTTTACAAATGGTTGACTGTGTGTTCCAGTGTTTACAAATGGTTGACTGCTTGTCTGAGTGTTTACAAATGGTTGATTTCGTGTCCAAGTGTTTACAAATGGTTGACTGGATGTCCGAGTGTTTACAAATGGTTGACTGCTTGTCCGAGTGTTTACAAATGGTTGACTGCTTGTCCGAGTGTTTACAAATGGTTGACTGTCGAGTGTTTACAAATGGTTGACTGTGTGTTCCAGTGTTTACAAATGGTTGACTGTGTGTTCCAGTGTTTACAAATGGTTGACTGCATGTCCGAGTGTTTACAAATGGTTGACTGTGTGTCCGAGTGTTTACAAATGGTTGACTGTGTGTTCCAGTGTTTACAAATGGTTGACTGCATGTCCGAGTATTTACAAATGGTTGACTGTGTGTCCGAGTGTTTACAAATGGTTGACTGTGTGTCCAAGTGTTTACAAATGGTTGACTGCATGTCTGAGTGTTTACAAATGGTTGACTGCGTGTCCGAGTGTTTACAAATGGTTGACTGCATGTCTGAGTGTTTACAAATGGTTGACTGTGTGTCTGAGTGTTTAAAATGGTTGACTGCGTGACCGAGTGTTTACAAATGGTTGACTGTGTGTCCGAGTTTACAAATGGTTGACTGGGTGTCCGAGTGTTTACAAATGGTTGACTGGGTGTCCGAGTGTTTACAAATGGTTGACTGTGTGTCTGAGTGTTTACAAATGGTTGACTGCATGTTTGAGTGTTTACAAATGGTTGATTTCGTGTCCGAGTGTTTACAAATGGTTGACTGTGTGTTCCAGTGTTTACAAATGGTTGACTGCATGTCCGAGAGTTTACAAATGGTTGACTGTGTGTCCGAGTGTTTACAAATGGTTGACTGCATGTCCGAGTGTTTACAAATGGTTGACTGCTTGTCCGAGTGTTTACAAATGGTTGACTGTCGAGTGTTTACAAATGGTTGACTGTGTGTTCCAGTGTTTACAAATGGTTGACTGCATGTCCGAGTGTTTACAAATGGTTGACTGCGTGTCCGAGTGTTTACAAATGGTTGACTGTGTGTTCCAGTGTTTACAAATGGTTGACTGTGTGTCCGAGTGTTTACAAATGGTTGACTGTGTGTCCAAGTGTTTACAAATGGTTGACTGTGTGTCCGAGTGTTTACAAATGGTTGACTGCATGTCTGAGTGTTTACAAATGGTTGACTGTGTGTCTGAGTGTTTACAAATGGTTGACTGCGTGACCGAGTGTTTACAAATGGTTGACTGTGTGTCTGAGTGTTTACAAATGGTTGACTGCGTGTCCAAGTGTTTACAAATGGTTGACTGGGTGTCCGAGTGTTTACAAATGGTTGACTGTGTGTCTGAGTGTTTACAAATGGTTGACTGCATGTCTGAGTGTTTACAAATGGTTGATTTCGTGTCCAAGTGTTTACAAATGGTTGACTGTGTGTTCCAGTGTTTACAAATGGTTGACTGCATGTCCGAGAGTTTACAAATGGTTGACTGTGTGTCCGAGTGTTTACAAATGGTTGACTGCATGTCCGAGTGTTTACAAATGGTTGACTGTGTGTTCCAGTGTTTACAAATGGTTGACTGTGTGTCCGAGTGTTTACAAATGGTTGACTGTGTGTCCAAGTGTTTACAAATGGTTGACTGTGTGTCCGAGTGTTTACAAATGGTTGACTGCATGTCTGAGTGTTTACAAATGGTTGACTGTGTGTCTGAGTGTTTACAAATGGTTGACTGCGTGACCGAGTGTTTACAAATGGTTGACTGTGTGTCTGAGTGTTTACAAATGGTTGACTGCGTGTCCAAGTGTTTACAAATGGTTGACTGTGTGTCCGAGTGTTTACAAATGGTTGACTGTGTGTCCGAGTGTTTACAAATGGTTGACTGCATGTCTGAGTGTTTACAAATGGTTGACTGTGTGTCCAAGTGTTTACAAATGGTTGACTGTGTGTTCCAGTGTTTACAAATGGTTGACTGGATGTCCGAGTGTTTACAAATGGTTGACTGCATGTCTGAGTGTTTACAAATGGTTGATTTCGTGTCCAAGTGTTTACAAATGGTTGACTGTGTGTTCCAGTGTTTACAAATGGTTGACTGCATGTCCGAGAGTTTACAAATGGTTGACTGTGTGTCCGAGTGTTTACAAATGGTTGACTGTGTGTCTGAGTGTTTACAAATGGTTGACTGTGTGTTACAGTGTTTACAAATGGTTGACTGTCGAGTGTTTACAAATGGTTGACTGTGTGTTCCAGTGTTTACAAATGGTTGACTGCATGTCCGAGTGTTTACAAATGGTTGACTGCGTGTCCGAGTGTTTACAAATGGTTGACTGTGTGTTCCAGTGTTTACAAATGGTTGACTGTGTGTCCGAGTGTTTACAAATGGTTGACTGTGTGTCCAAGTGTTTACAAATGGTTGACTGTGTGTCCGAGTGTTTACAAATGGTTGACTGCATGTCTGAGTGTTTACAAATGGTTGACTGTGTGTCCAAGTGTTTACAAATGGTTGACTGTGTGTTCCAGTGTTTACAAATGGTTGACTGGATGTCCGAGTGTTTACAAATGGTTGACTGCTTGTGGGAGTGTTTACAAATGGTTGACTGTGTGTCCGAGTGTTTACAAATGGTTGATTTCGTGTCCAAGTGTTTACAAATGGTTGACTGTGTGTCCGAGTGTTTACAAATGGTTGACTGTGTGTCCGAGTGTTTACAAATGGTTGACTGCTTGTCCGAGTGTTTACAAATGGTTGACTGTGTGTCCGAGTGTTTACAAATGGTTGACTGCATGTCCGAGTATTTACAAATGGTTGACTGTGTATTCCAGTGTTTACAAATGGTTGACTGCTTGTGGGAGTGTTTACAAATGGTTGACTGTGTGTCCGAGTGTTTACAAATGGTTGACTGCTTGTCCGAGTGTTTACAAATGGTTGACTGTGTGTCCGAGTGTTTACAAATGGTTGACTGCATGTCCGAGTGTTTACAAATGGTTGACTGTGTGTCAGAGTGTTTACAAATGGTTGACTGCATGTCCGAGTATTTACAAATGGTTGACTGTGTATTCCAGTGTTTACAAATGGTTGACTGTGTGTCCAAGTGTTTACAAATGGTTGACTGTGTGTCCGAGTGTTTACAAATGGTTGACTGTGTGTTACAGTGTTTACAAATGGTTGACTGTGTGTCCAAGTGTTTACAAATGGTTGACTGCATGTCTGAGTATTTACAAATGGTTGACTGTGTGTCCGAGTGTTTACAAATGGTTGACTGTGTGTCTGAGTGTTTACAAATGGTTGACTGTGTGTCTGAGTATTTACAAATGGTTGACTGTGTATTCCAGTGTTTACAAATGGTTGACTGCATGTCCGAGTATTTACAAATGGTTGACTGTGTGTTCCAGTGTTTACAAATGGTTGACTGTGTGTCCGAGTGTTTACAAATGGTTGGCCCGTGTGTGCAGAACCTACCAGCTGCTCTTCTTCCTGGATGTTTACAGCCTGAGACTGCTCACCTACAAACACCTTCTACTGAGACTAACCAACCCCTCCCCACAGTCCCACCTGGGTGAAAACTGTGGGGTACTTGGTAGGCCCTGAGAGCTGACCCATTTCCTTCTCCCCAGCCTGCTACTCCCAACTCTGCTCAACTGTAGGGATTCTCTAGGCCACACTTTCCCGGTATATAAGAAGATACGAATAGGATCGTTGTATGGTTGGACACAGGCAGTAGAGGAGGTGAAGGCCCTAGCATCTTGGAAAAGAAGCAGCTGGCCGTTCAGCATGCCTGGGGTGCGCGCCCTTTGACCGGCAGTCAGGGCCCAGCTCTGCACTTCCAGCTACGCCACACACATCTTCACATTCCACCGACCTGTGGGACTCCGGCTCATGATGATTGGGGTGGCAGCAGCTCCCACGCTGGGGCTCTCGCTGCCCGGGGACGGGCTGTAGGCAAACACCTCCTGCTTGAAGGGTGAGGTTGTGGATGGCTGGCTGCTCTGTGGAGAGAAACTGGGTGAGCAAGGCCAATGTACCCCAGCAGTCCCACAGCTGTGGGATGGACCATGCAAGTCACTGCTTCTAAGCCCACGTCCTACCTCAGCCTTTCCCTGACCCCTTCCCTTTCCAGCCGGTGTCCCCCTGGCAGGGACAGCCTCCACTGCTGCCCTTAAACGCTTTGTTGAGACAGAATCCCTTCACTCACTGCTCCCATTTGGTAGTAGGCCACACCTTCCCCCGTGGTATTTTAAAGCACAGTATAACATCTGAGCCCCAGAATGCTGCTCCCTGGTTGAGTGGGGCACACTTACCCCACTGTCACACTCCTCCATGGCCTCACCCTCCCCTGCGGTACTGCTGAAGCTGCTGGTGCTGGAGGAGGAACGGGAAATGTTGGCACGGCCATTCTCCTTCAACTTTATGAAGGGCCTGTGGAGAATGGGAAGCCAGGCAAGCAGAGAGTGAGACAAATCCACCAGAGGACTGAGCTTGCCCACGGTGGCTCCCCCACCTCTGCCTGGTGTTCCAGAGACTTCCAAAGGCAAGAAGTCAGTCTCAGCTTGCCCAGAGGCAGAGCACATACACCAGGACTCCAAATAGCTACAGCCAGCATTTCCTAAACCCCAATTCTCTTACTTCTCTTTGTTGGGACAGATTTCTGGAGAGCTGGGATTTGACGAGGTCTCAGACTTTATCTCCTGAGAAGAGTGTCCACCATCCGGGGTTTTGGGAGTGCTGGAGACACTGTCACTAGGAAGAAGAGAATGAAGAGAAGTGAGACCTGGGAGCCAGGCCCCTGCCCTTGTCCACCCCTGACCCTAGGCAGAGCTCAGGCTGTGGAGGTCAGTACGGAGTGTAGCCACCTCGTCCCTCCCCACCTGAAACTTCAGCAGACATCAGAGGTTTCTGCTCTGTACAATAAAGGCCAACCTGGATTCATAGTGATGGTCCAAGGCCACCAACCAGGGGCCATGGCTTGATGGCCTTCAGCCAAAGTCTACCCCTCTCCCATGCTGGTCATTGCACCTGTCAAGGTTACAGATCAATTTAAAGTCACACAGACCTGAATGACACCCATACAGGAATCAACCCAGTACCCATGGATTCCTGAGGGGCCACCTACTATAATGACTCTTGAGGACATCCTACATGTCACAAGGCAACCCTGGATGTTGGGGAGTGAAGGGATACTCTAAGCCCAAGTATCCAAGAGCTCCCTTCTCCTGCAGTTCAGCAAAAAGCACAACTTACCCTATAGCAAATCCTGGGCCCAGGACGGCTCTGTGCTCGGCTCACTTGTTTTCGTCTTTTACGCTTCTGAGTCCCAGGGCCACTGATTTCTGTTTTGCTTTGGTTTTTTTTTAAGAGTTTCTTATTCACCTATTTATTGTTTATGTGTGTTTGCCTGCATGTATGTATTGCACCACATACATGTTTGGTGTACTCATGGGTCTGTAGAGAGCATTGGATCCCCGTGGGACTGGAGTTAGAAATGCTTGTGCGCCTCTGTGTGGACGCTGGGAACAGAACCCAGGTCCTCTGCAAGAGCAGCCTGCGCTCTTAACCTGTGCTCTCCAGCCCTTCTTTACAGAGCGGCATTAATGAAGCATAATACACATGCCGTAAGACTCATCTATTTAAAGTGGACAATAAAAAAAATTTTAATATGTTCGTGGAATTGTGCAGCCATCGCCACAATCTAATTTTAGAGCATTTAAGGCCTCTTAAAAGAACCCCTGGTTCATCTGCAATCACTGCCCACCCCCACCTCTAACTATTTCTTTCTGTCTCTATGGACTTTGCCTAGTCTGGACATTCCATAGAAACGAGACTTGACAACATACACGGTCTTCACATCCTTTCTACTAGCTTACCATTTCCAAGTATGCCCATGTTGTGTGGCCTGCATCAGGACCTCATGCTTGTTGTTTATTACAAAATCATGCTACATTTTGTGGGCATACTGATTCCATTTTACCTATCTAGTAGCCAGCTGACAGGCCCTTCAGTTGCATCCACTTTGAGGTACCATGAATAACGCTGCAACCTATTAAAGGTGTGTGTTGGTGTTGTTACGGACAACTGTTTTCAATTCTTACGGTCTCTCTATATAAATATATATAAACACCTAAGGGTGGGATCAGTAGGTCCTATGGTAACTCTATGTTCATCCCTTTGAGGACTGCCAGGCTGTTTTCCAAAGCAGATGCACTATCTCACATCCCCACCAGCAAGGCACAAATGTGCCAATATCCCCACATCCTCCCTTGTTATTTACCCTTAAGATCACAGGCACCCTGGAGGTGTTAATGGCCTACATAAACTCTGTGTGTGTGTGTGTGTGTGTGTGTGTGTGTGTATGTGTCTGTCTGTCTGTCTGTCTCTGTGTATCTCTGTCTCTCTGTGTATGTGTCTGTCTCTGTGTGTGTGTGTGTGTGTGTGTGTATGTGTGTGTGTGTGTGTAGCAAATGCCTGTGTGCATGTATGTACAGGTGCTTTCGACTGCCTGTGCCGGTGAAGGTCAGAAGTCAACATGGGGTGTGTTCCTCCATGGCCTCCACCTCATTTTCTGAGACAGTCGCTCACTAAAACTGAAGCTCACCATCTGACCTGAGAGCCCCAGGGATCCTCCCATCACCACACCCAGCCTTTTGTACAGATGCTGGGGATCCAAGCCCAAGCCCTCATACTTGCTCAGCCACACTACACACTGGGCCACTTTCCCATCCCTCCATGCACTTTTGGTGACTTCCTGACTATTAAACCACAGGGTTGGGTCACCACAATGAACTTCCCTCCGTGACAGACACAACAGGAATTTCTCCTCTCCTGTCTTTGGAGACCTCACACACCCTGTGCAGTCTGTCCTCTGTCTCCTTCCCAGCTGTCTTTGCCAGCTCTTGGTCCTCTACGTGTCTGTGAACACTGAGGCTCTACACACCCTCTCTGAGAAGTCATAGGGATCTATTCGATTTCTTTGCATCAGCAACCCTACCCACCACTGCCCAGCTCTTTGGTCAGGACCTCTCTCCTAAATACAACTGACAGGATGTAGTGAGGTCAGGGTTCAAGGGAAGCCTGACATTGGGAAAACCTGTCCCCATGCTTGGGTACCTGACAGCTATACGGAGACGGGAGCTGACAGGCCCCATAGCTGGAATGGAGTTCAGGCCCTGACAGTTACCATCGTGTCCGGCTGTCCCCCTGGCCTTCAGAGCCCGAGTGCAGTCGGGGGAAGAGTCCAGACCGCCGCTTGATGGGGCTCCGTGACTGGTTCTTCACGGTTGCTGCGGCCACCGGAGGCTGCCAATAAAACCACCACAGTGAGTTCATGTGTAGATCCCTCCCACCTCTCTTCTGGTCTACACATGACTCCTGGTCTGGTGAGACCCCAGAAAACAACAAGGAGATGAGACCCCAACATTTGAGCTACTCAGCCTCTTTCCTGTTCTTAAGCAAGGCCGGTGGCAGCAGGCAATGATCTAACAGGGCCTCGAGCTCATGGAGGATCACAGGGTCACCATAGTGGGGTCAGATGCCAAGCTGGCTGGGACGATTTAGGGAATCACAGACTGAAAGATCTAGAGAGCCCTTAGAGGGATGTGTCAGGGCCAGCTGCAATAAGGACCCGGGGCTCCTGATCACTGCTTTCGAATAAACGGGTCCAGGCAGGAGTTGCAATAACAGATCAAATAAAAGCCACTGAGCTGAGTCCGCCTGCACTGATGGCAGGTCTCACCTTGACAATTCCCCAGCCTCGGGGTAGGAAGGATACGCAATGGTGAAAGTTTGAGCAAGAAGGCATAAAACCCTGGAGTAGGCTAGGTGTCTAGCCCCAGCCCCAATGCCACTCATGTGCTGTGTCACCTTGGGAGACTGGTCAAGCTCTCAAGCCTCAGTTTCCTAATCCACAGGAAATCACCCTGCTCTGTTGATATGACTTTCTGAGAGAAACAAGATAGTAGATTGAAAATATTAGGTAAATCAAGTCACTGCTCAAGGCCATTTGTAATAAAAGTCAACATCTCTGTGAGTCTATTCTGCTATTTAAACAATTTTCCAAGAAAATTCCAGTCCATACAAGTCAAAAGCCACTTGCCTTACTAATGGCTGACTATGCGGTTTCCTCACCTGCCGTTGGTGTGATTCAAGATGTCTAAGATCACAGACCCACAGGGCTGTCTCTCCCTGAGAGCTGAACCCACTATGAAGAGGCTAAATTTTGTATCAGGAAGTCCTCCATTTAAACCCCAGAACTTCATCTTAGCTGGGTGATGTTTAGTAAGTTACATAACCTCTCTGAGTCCCCTTTTCCTGAAGTGTGGAATGGAGAGTGGCCCTGTGTCTGCTCAGACAACCGTGAGAGGGATCAGGTAGGGTCTTGTGTATTGATCCCCAGCCCAGTGTCTGCTTCGGAGCAAGCTGGGGTGGCCACTGTTGTCATCAACAGGGTCTCCCTCATGAGCCCCCAAGCTCAGTTCTTAAACAAACTCAGAGAACAATTCACAGCACAAACCAACCCAGCAGCAAGCTGGCATGGAATTCCACAGGACCATTGTCACAGAGCACAGGCTGGGTTGCCTGCTCAGCAGCTTCAGTGTCCCTAGCCCAGACCTGAAGTGGGACACACCCTTCCTCCCCCCTCCTCCTCCTCCACATGCTGGCCCAGGATCCAAAGTACTCACTGAGAAGGTGGTCTTGGTGACCTCCATGTTGTTGTGGACAATACCCCCACTGAGGCTGCCAGGAATGTTCCCACCATGCAGCTTCCTCTGGCTACCCACCATGGTCTCCATGGAATGGCTGCGAACACGGATGGCTCTCTGCCAGGGGTGAGGAGTGACAAAGGTCTGAGAGTCAGTACCTGGTCCCTCTGGATGACTCTGTCCTGGGCTCACATGTACATATGCACGCACACACTAGTATGAGCATGTAAACAGTCACAAAGCCCACAACTCAGGCACTGGTATTTGCAGAGTTCTCTAAATTCTGTCCAGGCAGGGTCTGAGGACTCAGTGGTGCAAAGTGGGCCAACCTGGTATCCTCCTTTTATAGGAAGAGGAGACAAGGCCTGGAGCTCAGCAAACCTGTCTAGTTAGCAACTCAACATCTCTGGGTTATGGCTTCCTTGTCATTAAAATGACTGTCACACGTTCTGCACAGGGTGGGGACCGAACACCATCTCCTTTTTATTTTGACTTTTATGTTTTGGTGTGGCATTGAGAAATGGACCTATGATCTCCCTCAGGCTGGGCAAGAGCTCTACCACTGAGCGACATCATCGACCATACATCGGTTCTGTGTTCACAAAGCTAAGGGACCCTGCAGGTTGTTTAGCTTCTCTGGGACCTACATGGATTGGAATAGGGTGTGTCTATACAAGGAGTAACAGCAAGACCTGTAAAGCTCTTAAGAGACAGCCCAGTGCATCACAAATGTAGCTTCTCATGTTGTTAATATTAGGCATATTGTGTTTCCTTTTGTGCTCAGCACCACGCCAACTGCTAGACGGCGCTGTTGAGGCCAAAGGGATATTAGTCCAAAGAGTGCCCAAAACACACTCCTAAAAGTAGACTACAGTACAAGACCCAGTCTGTGATGATGGTCTATGTGTGTCCATCAGTTATTCTGAAACCCAAAGAGCAAAGGCTCCTGGACACCTGCACTATTGGTGGCTCAAGTACAGGTACCAAACTCCAGTTGGCAGAACTCCTGCTGATAGAACCAACATGGATTCATAGAACCAACATGGATTCCAAGGTCTTTTCCTCCTCCTCCTTGGGATGCAAAGTACCCAGGCTCAGTGTAAAGTACTTGTTTAACTCATCCCTTACTAGAGAAACAGGAGAATGTCTGCTGGTGTCTTTGGGGGGAAAGCATAGGAGACATTTGAGACACCAAACCTGATGACAAAGCTGAAGAGCCCAGGACCACACAGGGGAAGGAAGAAAGTACATGTGTGCTTTGACCAACTGAGCCTGGACTTCCTGCTACAGTCATTGGTGGATTTTCCTCACCATGGTGTGAGCCCATCACCCTAGCATCAGGAAACAGATATGTACTAAGTTACAGCCCACTCCCTCCTTTCTGGACTCAGGCATGTGCACACCCTATGTGCCCATACCAGAGGAAAAGCAAATCCCCTTTCCTTCCCTTGAGATATCCAGGAAGAGCTCCAAGTTGACACAAATATTGCTCTTCAGGACCCCAGCGACAACTTTGAGACTTGAAAATGGCCAATGGCCTCATCCTGCATGTCATTCCCTCCTGTCAAAGGACAGAGACTCAGAAAAGCTGCTGGTATGTGTAACAGCTCTCCCCTCCAGACAAGCCACCAACAATGAGGTGTGGGACTACCAGCCTCAAATTGACAAATATAACCTCTATTGTCTGAATCAAAGATGCCCCATGAGGGACATCACCTCTCCCCTCTCTGGACCACAGAAGAGTTGCCTAGCAACAGTGCTCCTGGAACATGGTTGCAAGAGCCAGCATGTTTGATTCATTCTACCACCCAAGCGTAATAGAGTCATGTAATCTTTGGAAACTGACATGTCCTTGGATGAGGGGGAGAAGGCTCCTTAAGTGGCATTAATGTTTCATAAATGTCAGCATTTTTATATGCTTGTTCCCTGTACTGCCACTACCAGTGTTACCAACATTGCACACTCTTCATTTGTGTTCAGATCTAGTCCTCATTTGTCTCTAGGATCCAAGTACGAATGCTAAGTCCTGTGCAGTGTATCTAGTCTTCATACACAATCTTATTGGATCCCTAAAAGGCTGAGGTATAGGGAGAATAGAAAATCTCTCAAGTAACAAAGAACTGTCACACATCAGTAAAAGATAGAGCTGGGATCCAAATCTAGTATCCCAGGCCCCAATATTGAAAATACAAAGCTGGATATGGTAGTGCATGGCTGTAACCCACGCAATTTGAGAAACTTGAGAGGCCAAGGACAGCCTGGGCTGCAAAGTAAGACCCCATCTCCAGAAAACTCAGGGGAAGGAAGGGAGGGGTAGGAGGAAAGAGATGGGAGGGGTAGGAGAAGGAGAAAACGAGGTGATGGGGATGGAGACGAAGGCCAAGATGGAGTGATTCATTGACTACAGTTGGCTGGGAAGCAGGAGGTTTGGAGTCACACTCTCATAAACATGTCACAGGCTGATGTCAAGGAGGAAGGTGTCTTCAGGTGCCCATGTGCAAAGCAGATCTGAGGTGTCAATGAACTGATGGAATTCCAGAACTGGACAGGCTGTCAGTCACCTGCTCTCCTGCTCTTGGCAACAGAAAGGGTAGAGTCCTGGTTCTCTCACGGTCCCTGCCAGGAGGAGCTGTCACAAGGATGAAACGAGACAGTGTGCATCTGACACCTGGGATGACACCTGCCCACTCTGGTTAGCTCTCCTGCCCCGATCTTAGTGTAAAAGACACAAAACAATGTTTGCTTTGAATGAAACTGTCCAGTAACATCTACAAAATGCCACATTACAGTGCAGCGAGCAACTGAATGGAAATCCTGGTCCACCCAAACTGGGCAGCAGAGTCAGAATACAGGGGGGACACACAAAAGGAGAGACAGAGAAGGGCAGAGGGGAAGGGTGGCAATGGTCTTGTGTCCTCCAGGGACCAGCTACTCATTCTTACAGTGGATGGCCTGACCCACAGAAAGTTCTTATGTATACACAACTGGTAGGTCGCCTACATTTCTAAACCTTGCAGTCTTGGGCTGGCCTTTTCTATCATTTCACATGACTGTCCCTTGCTGTCCTCCTGGCCAATCACTCTGGCTCCACCAATGTCCCTCAGTACCCCCCCCCCGCAGCCTCCCAGCCCTCAGCACACCTCACTGCCCCCTCCCATCAAGCTCTCCTGTGAGGCATGAGGACAAAGAAATGCACTGCTTTCTCATTACCCATGTGTCCCATAATCTCAGCCCTACAAGCAGAACAAGTTACTTCCCAGCCACCGGCACTATCGCCTCCTTACAAAAGTGCCTGTGAGTTGTTCCAATTTCACAAACTCAACATCGGGATAAAAATTAAGGGGATGAGAACCAAACAGGGCATGCCCATCCAAACCACATAAGGAACAGAGGCATGGGCCTCTGGCACAAAGACGCCTGTCTCCTGCCTGCTGAGATGGCTTTAGTCAGGGTCTTCCGCTCCTCCAGCAGGAACAAGCTGGCAGCTCACTCACAGTCTATAGCTCCAAGTCCAAGGCCTGGGCATTCTCCTGCCCCGCCCCTTGCGTGTGCATGCATGTCTCACTACCAAAGGCACATGACCATCCTGGGACCACAACTTTCCCTCCCAGGAAAAGCAAAGGGATGACAGAGATGTCAAAGGCTGGGGCCTGTTCTGCCCCATGGTCCTCCCTCCACCATCACTTACGTGATTCAGGTTGCCTGTGGCTACAGGACACGCCCCCCAAGACTTTGCCTGCCAGAGATGTCTGTGACTCTCCTGCCACCAAGGGTCAGGTGAGATCAATGCACCACCTACACCAGTTCCTCAAAGGCTCAAAGAAATTGGCCTGCTGTCCACTCTGTTCCTCGTGGTCCCAACTCTGTCCCATTGCCTTCTATTCCTACCTCCACATTATGAGGGCAGCGGAGGGGAAGGCCAGGCAAGTGACTCTCAAACCATGGTCTGTATGTGCTATATGCTTATCACACGGACAAATCCATTGTCACTTATTCTTTTTACTTCATCACAGACCAGCAGTCTAGGGATAAGTTCCTTCCAAAAGGAAATGATACACAGCTCCTTTATCAGGAAGGAAAAAGCAAAAAACGTCAAGGTTCCCAAAAGCATGGCCAGTCATCCCTTGAGCCATGGGAACAGCTTTAATCCAGGACATCGTTGCAAAGAATGAGACGTGTTCATTAGATTTTTCAGATTGTCATCTACGTGAAAATGAAAACTCCCAATTGTCAGTAGACTGGACAGGTCCTGAGACTCCTCCAAGCAGTTTGGCTTATAAGCAGGTCTAGGTATCCATAAAGCAACGGGCGTGTCTCATGGAGGAGCTTCCGCTCACAACACAGAACTGAAGTGAAGGAACAGCCTGCGGTCACAGTGGGTCTGCTCCTGGGCTGTGGCCCACTAGGGAAAACCAGTCTGAAGGGGACTGGCGGTGGGAAGACGCTCAGCCCTGAGCCTCCTCAGTTCACATCTGCCTATGAGAGAACTTTCAACCCAGGCATTTTCTTCCGGGCATCATTGCAGACAATCCTTCATTCTGAAGAAATGCCAGAGGCCTAGGATTCATCCCAAAAGAAATGTCAATAATTCTGACACCACAGTCCTGTCTAAGGCCCCCATAAGGAGAGAAGGAAGGAAGCTAGAGACAGACTCTAGAACTGGGCTCAGGGTCAGGCCTGCCCCTTGCCCAGGCCTCTCCACATGGGAGACCTGGATCAACACTGAAGGCGTAGAAGCCAAGGTCTCCTTCCAGGGCAAAGGCTCACTCTATGTGCCTGACCCAACGATCCCTCCCACCACCACCATCTCACAACCTCAAAGGCAGGTGTGAACTCCAAATGGAAAAAAAAAATGGGTCTGTCCTTAAACACAGAATTAGAAAGAAGTCTCTGGAATACTGGCTTGCAGGCCAGTCATAATAGTCTTGCAGCATGCTCTCTCTTGAAAGCCTCTCTAGGACTACGTCAGACACCCTGGAGTGAAACATATACCAACTCCTACTACTCCTAACAGATACAAGAGATGGGACGAAATGACCTTGAGCCACCATCCTTTAGATCTGTCACCTGTATTTAACTTCTGGGCTACCTCATCCATTGAACCCCATGGACAGAATGTCCAGAGCCTACATACAGTGTTACATAAATATTTGAAACCTGAAATAAAACCACCACTAGCTCTAACGTATAAAAGGAAACCTGTAAAACTCAAAGCAACAAATGCTTCATTAAATGTTCACAAAACACATCATTGTGCTAGCTCTTCAACCACAGCTCAGCCCCAATGATTCCATATAAATTAATTTACTGTGAGTTTACTCCTTAAACAGGAGATCCCCAGAGCCCCAAAAGGCCTCTCTAAGTGGCTGCTCCTCTAGCTCCCCTAGGACCACACCTGTTCCCTATTACCCAGTCTCACGTTCACCCTCCTCTTGGCGAGGCTATCAATCCACCATGGCTCCCTCTTCCTTCTCTGTTCCTTTTCTCCTCTACCCTTCATTTTCATTTTTCTCAAAATCAGAGTCTCACTATGTAACTCAGCCCTTCCTTGAACTCATCATGCTCCTGCCTCAGCTTCCCAGATTCTGGCCATCCAGGCATGTCCCTCCACACCCAGCTCCTCTTGCATCTAGATTCTACACACACACACACACACACACACACACACACACACACACACACACACACACACACACGCCTTTTATTTTTTAACTTTTTCACAGCAACTTCTATCAATAGCAAACCAGAAGCCTCAGGAATCTCCTACCAGCCTGGACAAGCAGCCTGGCTCCTCCTACCCCCTAGAGGAATCTCAGCTGCTGGCTCCAGCCAGGGCCAGCAGAGCTATGCCCTGCTCTCAGCTGTCCAGCTGGGCAGTGCACAGCTGACCCTGACCTGCCCAGGCCTGGCCGGCATGGGTGGAATCTTCATGTTCAGAAACTGGGAGGAAGTATCGTGTAGCTAGTAAGAATTTGGGAGACCTGAATTCAACTCTGTCTCCGGGGTGACCTGGAACAAATTATTTAGTCTCTGTGTCTTTATTTCCTCACATGTAAAACAATATTCACAATTATTAAAATTGAGAGTGAATTATTATGCCAAAATTATTATGTGCATAATACCAGCCTTCCCCACAGAGCACTAATGACAGTTGGGAGGTTAAGATTATATGTAGCCCATACGGCACAGTTAATGTGTGCCCAGTTACAACAGATAAGTGTATTTACTGTGTCATAGGCAATCTGCAATTTCCAGACATTATTCCAATGAACTCTCACAACACAGTGACAGAGGTCCAATTTATTATCTCTGTGTCCTTAATAAGAAAACTGTAGCTTGTGGACTTTAAAGATCTTGCCTAGTGCCCTATAGCTGTGATTTTAAAACATTTGTAACCCTGATCTTATACAGGCCTCAAAGATTCATGTTTATGAATCTCTCTGATGGGAGAGGGACATGGCAGACCCTTGAGAAAGTCTAGGTGTGAACAGAGCCCCACCTCTGAGGCACAGGGTCCTGGGACCCTGTGGCCTCTTGTGGCCTGCCCTCCAGCAGCACCCCCCCACCTGTGTTAAAGGAGGTGCTGACAAACACGACCTAGCCAACTGCACACCATCACAGTCAGGTTCAAATCAGATGCCAATGTAGGTGCTGTGTTGACCAGCAAGCACTCAGCCAGGACATGACTATAAAACCTTCTCTGCCCCTTACTGGTTCTGTGGCCATCCAGGCTCCATCTGAGTATTTTGGGGGGACAAGGAGTTCCTTCTGGATAAAACTCTTCTCTTTTCAACCTGTAGCTCCACCCACTCACCCACCCCCAGCCGGATCCCAGGACTTTTTTTTTTTAATTTAAATTTAAATTAGAAACAAGGTTGTTTCACATGTCAATTCCAGGCCCCTCTCCGTTTCCCTCCCCTCCTCCCATGCACTCCTCCCCCCAACCCCCCAATATCCCCTCATTTCCCCAGGGAGGGTGAGGCCCTCCATGGGGGTGTCCATAGTCTGTCATTTCATCCAGGGCAGGGCCTAGACCCTCCCCCAAGAGTTCAGGGTGAGAGTGTATCTCTCATTGTTGGATGGGAGCCCAAAGTCCATTTGGGTCCCAGGACTTTGCCAGCAAGGAAGAAGCATGCAGCACCACACGCAGCCACTGAAGACCCCCTAAGGCTGTGGCCTCACTCCCACCATTCCTCCCTGGGCTCCCCGACCACAGAGGGAGACGGGTGAGGACAGCGAGGTTCTTGGCTCATGTGACCTCCTCTCCTCTGCTCACTCTCTTGCCTACTTAGAGGGTTCCTGGATGATGATGGTCCAGGCCAAGGGAGAAAGTATGGGGGTCACTGGAGTCATCGCTGGATGCTCCAACCTCATAAACAATAGCCCAGCCCTTTGCAGAGTCCCACCCCTTCCTGTTACCTCTAACCCGGCTCTGGGCTCTGAGGCCATATTCCCAGTAACTTAGCTGCTTGCTTTCTTTGCCCTCTGCTGCAGCAATCCCAAGTCAGCCTGTGTCCATACCTTAAAAGACTCCAAGAATCCTCCATGGCCCCCATTCTCAAACTTGTCTTCCTCAGGGCCCAGGCCTAGCATGACCTGAGTGTGTGTGTGGAGTTCATCATGGAGGTTGTCCAGCAGAGCAGCCCTCGTCCGGTCCTAGAAAGGAGGGGTATATACAGTGTATAGACACCACTGTGTACTTCCTTCTGTGTTCTAGATGCCTGGCCTGAGGGCTGCTACTCTGTCACCAGCTCCTGGCCATGGTGGGGTCTTAGAGGAGACTGGACTTCATGCTCACTAGTGCTGCAGTTAGCACAAATGTTCTGGGCCAGCCCCTGCTCTCACTCTCCTTGGCCATACCACCTCTTCTAAGGCTTGCCCTGGGGATACCCAGCCCAGGTCTCAGACCAAGATCTATATCCACAGCCCCTCTGCTCATGGCTCTCCAACAGCCATGCATGCAGCCTCCAGGGGCTCCATACACACAACTAGACAAGACCCACTCAGAGGCTCCATACACACAGACTGGACAAGTCCCTCTCAGGAAGCCACAGTCCTCTTCCAGTTGTTCCCATCACCACAGAGCCTAAACTGAAAGCCCGAGGCACCCTATAATTCCACTTTTCCCACCCTTATTTCTAGGAGTGTCTTCCCAACCCTGACTTTAGAGGAATGTCCAATCTCTTGACATTGTGACACAATGCTGTCATCTCTAAGAACAGCACAGTCAGATTGCCAGGGGGAAAATTCACAATGTTTTATACTTACTTGTCTGTGATTTTTGTCTTAGAACACATTCATGGCTATCCTGGAGCACATGTGACTTGCAGGCCTCTGGTTGGACACACCTACCGGCAGTTTAACCCAGTTCCTCCTGTGAAATGCTCACCTTTGTTGAGTCTCTCAGACTCTTTAGCCATTTCTAACTGACCAGTTTCCTGTCACAGCTGCCTTCCAACCCCTTCTCCTCCTCTAACACCCACTGGCTAATGATGCCTCTAACATGCCAATCAAACACTGCTTAAAAACGTCATAGCACCCATCACCTGTAAGTCCAGCCCTTCTCCATCTAATGCAGCCACCATCTGCAGCTGAGCCCCCATCTTCCAGCCACATGAGGCCGCCATCAGGCCACATCTCCCACACATAAAAGTCTGATTCTGCTTGTCCCTTAACTGTTTCCTGTGTCTGGAATGACTTTCCAGACTCTCTGCATGTGAAAGTTCCATCGGACATCAAGACTCAGCAGCTCTAAAGCAACCTCCTCCAAGAAGCCTTCCCTGAACACACCCGCCATCTTCCCTAGCAGAAGCAATCACTACCCACAGGCTCCATCACAGGCCAGAGTGTAATACAGTACAGTATTGTAAACCACAGTTTCTCTTCAGTAAAGGCCTGTGACTCCATAGCAGCAGAAGCAATGCCTCACTTATCTCTGATAACAGAACAAGTCCTGGGCATAATACATGTTCAGTAAACAACTAGTGATTGACTGGCTGATGAGACCCAGAGTCTAGATGAGTTCCTACCAAGAAAAAAAAAAGAGTCCCCAAAGCAACACAGAGCTGAGGACTTAGGAGGATGCAAAAAGCTCCCCAACTGAACAAGCACCATGGGGAAGACTCCTGAATGGGCTTGGAGCAAGCCCAGAGAAGACATTCAGTCTGGCATTCTCACCTCCAGCTTGGCGAACTTGTCCGACTTGCAGCAAGCATTTTCTGCGTTTGTGAGCTTGGTGAGCAGAAACTCCCGGAATTCTGCACCCTGAAACAGATTAAGAGGGCTCAGAATTCTCCCGGCCTCCACTGTAGACAAAAAGCTTCCAACCATAGTAATAAAAAGGCAGAACAGGAGGGCCTCACCCTCCCTGGGGAAATGAGGGGTCAATGGGGGAGTTGGGGGGAGGGCACGGGAGGAGGGGAGGGAAAGGGAGAGGGACCTGGAACTGACTTGTGAACCAACCATGTTTCTAATCTAAATTTAAACATAAAAATAAAAAAAGGCAGAACAAGGGGTATGGGGACAGCCCCTTTATATCCAGCCAAGGCCAGCCCTACCTGCCAATACACGGCATAGAAGCCAGCTTCCCCAGTATTGGGACGCCCACCCTCCATATGTCACCTGGCTTGGAGCACAGTATGAGAGTCCTTGGAAGGCAACCCCATCATCAAACTCCCAACAAGGGCCAGACTGTCCCCAAAGGGTGAGGTAGGAAGATACCCAGAAAGGAGACATCCCTAACCCTGTAACAGGACCTCCCTGACAATGCTCCCAGCCTACATCAACCCCATCCAACCACTGACACTCAGGTGGAGAGACCTGGGGTCTTAAGCGTGACAAGAATGGAAGAAGAGGGTTTTTTACCTTCTGGAAAACAGGTGGGCTTGGCAGAGGGGGGCCAAAGGCAGGCACATCCTCCCTTGCAGTGACTGACACCTGAATGAAACAGTCTGGCATGGGCTAAGACAGAAAAGGAGTCCCACTCCTTACAGCAGACCAGCTCACCCCTCCTTTCCTCCCCAGAACACAGAGAGAATGTCCATGTGAGCATCACCCACAAGCCCTAAATGATGCTCCTCTGGTGGGCCAGATAGCACAGAAGCCTGCATCCTTCCCTCTGCCTTTCTAGGGGCCAAAAGCAAGTTTGGCAAGATGATGCCTTGGGCTGCGGAATGGCTAGGACCCTGATTGCAAGTGGTTAGGAGGTTTATCTCATTATCCCACTGTTCATCCCAAAGAAGGCACCTGAGGACTACTGCCCATTTTATTGATGAGGAAAGAGATGGCTGAGGTATGGAACAAGCACCCCAAAACCAGAGAAAGGAACACAGAGAACACAGACCACTCCAACACAGCTCTGAGATTTCCCCCTACTATAGTGACCCCCAAACTCACTTTGAGTGTTTAAAATGTAAATCCTAGTCCAGAGAGATGGTTCCACAGGTTAAAAAAATACATGCCACACAAGCCTGATAATCCCCAGAAGAGAACTGACTCCCAAAAGTTGTCTCTGACCTCCATAGATGTGTCTGTGTTCCCCCAACACATCACACACACGCGCATGCACACACACACACATACACACATACACTAACAACAACAACAACTACTACTACTACTATAACATCAATAAATAAGTTTTTTAAAGTAAATACTGGTTGCAAGGGGGAGCTTGGGGCTCTTGGGAGCTTTGACACAGGCTGTGGACCCAGGTCTGGAGTCTGCTCTACACAGAGAGCCAGACAGTCTGGCTGAGGTTTGAGCACAGATATCAAAGGCATTAGCTGGAAATGGGGGTGGGGGTGTAGGTCAGCCAGGCCCCAGCCAGAAGCTGTGAGGCTGGGCTGTAAGAACATCAGGGGCTCTGCATAAGGGTGGTCCTGGAGCAGGAAGGTTCCACTCTTCACCTCCTCTCTGCATGCAACTATCTTGGCTTTACCTGCTGTCAACTCCTGAGGCTGCAGAGCTCTGGGGAGGCTGCCCTATCCCTTCACTAGCAGTGACTGATATGAAGGCCCTGGCATGCTGCCAACTGTTCTGGCCTGTGAAGTAGGGCAGATGCAATAGTCTGCCAGACTGGGTGAGCAGGCAGCCTGGGACCCAGCCCAAATGAGGCCCTGCCAGGTCCAGGGGGAGGAAGCAACTCCTCGGTCAATGGGGCATTTTTCCTACAAGCTCAAGGATGTCGGCATGGCCCAAACTGAGGTGCTCACAGTCAAGAAATGGTTTGTGTTTGCTGACAAGATTTTGGCTGGGCCCCAGCTGCCAGACACAGCCCCCACTCCATCCACCTACAATGCACTGGTGGCCCAAATCTAGAATTCCATCCTGGAGCAAGAATCTGGCTGCCCACTGTGGGTATCTGGGACACTTGGGACAAAGCACAGACTCTGGCCCAGCTGTTTCCCCTGGCCTGGCCCCTCCTCCTCAGGCCTGCACTAAAGTAGTCTGTGCTGCCAGGGTAAGTGGCTCAGATATGCCCTTAAGTCCACAGGTCAGCAGAGGCAGGATCCAAGTCCTCTGTGGGAATGATCACCCATCACCCATCCTCATCCTATCTCCTCCTCTGACCTCAGTGTCCCCAGGCAGCTAAGCTTTTGTCACCTCCTCCTCTCAGCTTGCTTCAGGGAAGCACGGCACTGAGTCACTGAGTTTACCTTCCAGTAGCTAAAGCAGGTATGGGCTGGGAGGAAGCAGGAGCAGCTCACTAGGAGCCCCTTTGAAGCTTCAAGGAGCTCAGTATGGGGACAACCAGGGGCCCAGGGGAACTTCGAGAGTAAGGGCTGGAGACCCAACAAAGCCCCCCCTCAAGTCCAGGTACAGGTTGGGGCTTTGGCAGGGCTGCTCAGAGGCAGCCATGATGGGCAGGAGAAGGCCCTCCCCAGCTGCCTGCTTCACATAAGGTTCTCAGAACCTTGGCAGTACTTCAGGAGTAGGGTGGGATGGCCCCTGGGGGTAAGGATGGGGGAACCCATTGACTGCTGAGCTGGAATCTCTTTCCAATCTAGAGTGATGAGAACTAAACCCCTACCTGGAAAGTAATTCAGTGTCACATTTCATGCACACTCATGGAGCCGGTTTCTCACCTGCCCCGAAGGCTCCTGGGAAGACTTCCAGCTCCAGGCTCTCTGGCTCTGTGGCCTTGGCTTTAAGTGCCCTCAGCAACAATCAGCCTCAGTCTCATCCCTATGAGCAGGCTGGTGGACCTTGTTAGGCTTCAAGGGCTAGTGAGATGACTTGCCACCAAACCCAACAACCTGGTTCAATCCCCAGGAGCCGCATTGTGGACGGAGAGAATTGACTACTGCAAGTTGACCTCTGATTTACACACACACACACACACACTCACACACACACACTCATACACACTCTCACACACAAATGAATATAAAAAGAGACGACACTGTAATGCAGAGCCTGGCACAGAGCGGGAACCACCATCACCCAGTTTTGTCTTGTTTTGTTTTTGTCTTTACTTTCCCCACCAGACTACATTAAAGGGCACCTTAAACACAGAGTTCCCTGCCTGGCGGTGGTGGCGCACACCTTTAACCCCAGCACTGGGGAGGCAGAGGCAGGCAGATCTCTGTGAGTTTGTCCAGCCTGGTCTACAGAGCAAGTTCCAGGACAGGCTCCAAAGCTACACAGAGAAACCCTGTCTTGAAAAACCTAAAACAAAACAAAACAAAACTACATAGTTTCCTAATACACCTGGCAGCCCATACCCTACCCTGCCTCTGTCTCTGCTCCCACAAGTAACCAGGACTAAAAGGTTCTCTGAAGTTATATAACCCAGCTCCCCTGCTTTGCAAAGATAGAAATAGAAGCCCAGAGATGGCAATCACACAGCCACAAAGAGACAGGGCCAGAGGCAGAGACCCCTGCTGCTGTGCCACTCTGCCTGGGGGTCCCTCCCTCCTTTACTCTTCTTTCTTGTCCTCCTCCTATGGGGTTCAGCCAGTCTTCCTCAGTTTATGAGTCACCCACAGTGCTTCTGGGGGGGAGGGGCAAGCTAGGTGGACAGCACTCTGGGAGCACCTTGGAAGACGCAGGCATGGGTCCCAAATCCAAACCCGCCTCAGTAGGAGGAGAGTGGCTATTATGCTACCCTGACTGAACTACACTCCCTGGTCCTCTGAACCTTGCCTGGGGGTCAACAAAGCCAGCTCTTCCTTGTTCCCCAGTGTTCCCAGCACATGGCAGGCATGGAATAAGAAGTCCTGTGTCTACCAGCAAATGAACCAGACTACTGTAAGCTGAATGCCCATTTCAGTCAAAGCAGGCTAGATTGCTCAGTGTCTGAGGGGCACACACAGCCATGCACACAAAAGAAGCCCATGGACCTCAACGGGGAGACGTGCTTATTGTGGGCTTGTTGGGGGAGGATTGAGCTTCTGTGGGGGGGAGCGTACACATATGTGCATATGGGGGCAGGGTGTGTTGGGAGCTCAAAGGGCAGGTGCCGGTGATCAAACTTGGGGCACCAGACTTGTGTAGAGAACTCCTTTACCCACCGAGCTGCTTACATTTTTTTATTGTTATTGGGGGAGGGAGGGCTCTTTGTTTTGTAACAGGCTCTCTGTAGCCCTGGATGTCCTGGAACTCACTATGTTGACCAGGCTGAATTCAAACCCTCAGAGATCCGCCTGCCTCTACCTCCCAGGTACGAGAATTAAAGGTGTATGCCACCACACGTGACTCCCACCTTATCTTTTGAGACAGGGTCTCTCACTGAACCTTTATTTGGCCAAACTGGCTGACCCCAGGAACCTTTGTGTCTCTGCCACTCCAGTGCTGGAATTACAAATGCAATCAGCTCTCTATGGGGGTGCTCAGGACTTGAGCTCAGGTGCTAGTGTTTGTACAGCACGTACTTTACTGGCAGCCACCTCTCCACCCTGAGAACTCCTTTTTTCTTTCTTTCTTTTTATGTCTCATACTAGGATTTCAAAGCTGACCTGACTTCTGCACTTATCACCTGGGGGTCTATACTGACAAACAGAAGCATCACCATTGTGAAGGCTGAGAAGATGGCTAAGACACAGCAAGCCCCGGAAAGCAGCAAGGGCCTGGGTTAGCATCTAGTATACACTCCCAGCCTCAACTCTCCCATTTGCAAAGACAGGGCCATTTCTCCTACTACTTAAGATGCTGGTACCCAGCAGTCTGTGATGTAGGGAACACTTTGGGAATGTGAACTCTGGTCTCTCTTCCCAGGAAACAAAGAAAAGCAGAAACTCTCCACTTGGCTCTTGCTAGGTGGCTTGGGGAACCACCTAGCCCTCACCCTAAAATTTCTGACTCAACCTATCTCCCTTGGGTCCCAGGCCCCTCCAACTAACGGTACACAGAGACGTGCTGCCATGGAGGTTAGGAAAATGAGGGAGGTGAAGAAGCTGCCAGTGAGTGAGGGGGGCAAGGGAACGAGCCCTGCCTCTCTGATCCCTAGGACTGGGAGCCAGAACAGTTAATGCACTCCACACACCTCCTCCCGTTACAACAGGTGGCCCTTCCTTCTCTGTTCTTAAATTGACATGTATTAATTATACATTTCCTCACATGCAGACGGTATACACTGACTAAATCCAACTTCCTTTAATTCACTTTGCCTCCTGCACCCTCCTCGTCCTCTTTTCATTGTTTTTACACGGTCTCACTACGTAGGCCAGACTAGCTTGGAACTCTTCATCCCCCATGACTCTGCCCCCACACCTGGGGATTACAGGCATGTATCACTACCAGTGGCCAGGGTGACATTTTTAGCTCTCAAGTGTCTTAGAAAGAAAAACTAAAAGTCTGCAGTCAGGAGCATCACCAAGGTCTTGCATTCTCAACTTAAGTTGCCCATTTTCCACATCATCCAGATGCGGGGGTCAGGGTCTATGAGTCCCCTCTAGCCTTTGTCTTCCTATTTCCCCCTTTTCCCTCCCCTTTCCTGACCATCCTTTCCAGATCCTCTTCCTCAGACTTCCTCTAGCAAATGCTATCACCATATCCAAAGCTCAGCACTTGGGGCTTCTGGATTATTGAGTGAAAAGCTGAAGAGCTAGATAAGGATGGAGGAGATGATATTGGAAGGCGATTTCCACCAAGGGCCAGGCTCCAAATCTCTGAAGCCGGACCAACCATAGGGACCACAGTACTATTAAGACTGGTATCTTGCTTGGAACTTGCTCTGTAGACCAGGCTGGCCTCAAACTCAGAGATCTGCCTACATCTGCCTCCAGAGTGCTGGGATTAAAGGTGTGCATCATCACCACCCAGCTAAGACCTAGTGTCTTTTGCTGTCACTGAGCCCACCACCCCTAAGGATGTACCTGGGCCCATGACTGCCCTCCCCCATGAGGCTTTTCTCTTACCTTGTAGGATGGGGTCTCTGTGCCCAGGCTCTCAGCCTGAACAACTATGTAGGCATGTAAGAAGTTTGACGCAATCATATCTGGGACAAACGGTGTGTTTTCCTCTTGGAAGATGATGGCCACAATGTCATTACCAATGTGTCGTTTTCTCTGCAGCTAAACAGAAAGTACTTCATTGTTAGAAGACAGCTAAGACCCTCCCTAAACAGAAAAGATCTCAACGTCAAATTCCTCTTTATTCCGCCTTTCATAATCCCTGAACTCTGTCTCTCAATCTGTGGGAACTACCAAGAAGGAAAGGGAGGGAGACCACCATGTTGTTAGGTAAGCGTGGCCTGAGTGTAACGAAACTCAACAGCGTAGAGACCCTGGACTCGGGACCCTGGAGAGAATGTAAGAATGGCAGGCCAGTCATCAGTGACCCAGAAGAAACACAAACACAGGAGGAGCCCCCTGAACACACTAACCAAGCTGCCAGCCGAGAGTAAATCAGCTGCTCTCTGGCAGAAAGGACCCGGCAGCTCTAGGGGCAGAGAGCAGGTGGCAGCAGACAGCATCCTGAAAAAACGTGGGCAGAATTGGTGAGGAAATGTCCACAGAATAGGCAGGGGACAGATCATTCCACCACAGGTGAAGACACACTCAGAGAAACGCAGGTCAACTGGCTAGGGGAGAAGGACTGGACGGGACCCGGCAGTGCCAGGCACTTTACCATGTGATCTAAGTTACAAGCCCCACTATGTGCCAGGAACTGTGAATGGCTGCTCCCACAGATGATTACAAATGTTAAGGTCTTCCTGTGTACCAGGTCCCACCCGTGTGTTTGGTCCCTTATTAAATGTGGACTCAAAGTGGGACTTGTGCTCAGGCCTTTCAAATTGAGTTTCTCACTTACAGAGTGTCTGTGCTGCTCTGAACACTGTACTGGGTGCTTTTATGCAAACTGCCTCATTTTGTTACACACACACACACCACTGGGCACCCATCTCTTAAGAGGAAAGACCTCTCATTGATTTGGTCCCTGCCAAGAGCCAAGCTCTGTAGCACATGCCAGGCTGAAGTAACCCTGAGGTAATGAGCCTCAGACTAAGGCAGTAGGTGAGGGAGGCTGTGAGAAAACAGGGGTCAAAGGTGATACACCCAGGAAAAACCCACTTTGTCTACACAAGGAATCCCACACCCATGTGTTTCTGGAACATTCAGTTATTATTTGGGAGCCAAATAATAATTGGCTTGCCAATTTCTTTGATTCCCAAGAAGCCATGTCCAATGTTTACAATTTTGCATCCCTGTTCCCTTCCCAGGACCCTAGGCAGAAACAAACTGGTCAGGGTTTGGAGGAGGCCCTCCTGTTTCTCTGAGACAGGAAGGAGGAAAGTGGGATAACGTGATTAATGTCACAGCAGCCAGGATCAGCTCGAGAGCCTAGCCCTCCCCAGGGATGTGCAGCTCAAAGCAGCTACCCTGGAGAGAGCTGGCAAATGCTGGACGGGTCTCACAGAGTCCCCAGACTAGGGACAGGCAATGAGGCTGGGAGGATTCTCACACAAACTTCACACTCACGGGGCAGCCAGGAGGCAGAAGGGCAGAGTGGCCAGGACAGGGGTTCCACAAGAAGCAGGCACATGCCAGATGAGGCTCACAGGAGCCCACTGTTCAGAAACCTACAGCAGCTCTAAAATACAGATGCCACTCCATGTGTTCCAAAGCCACGAGGCCACTGACTAGCCAGGAGTCTCAAACACTCGGCTTGCTCTCCTGGCTTCCCATCTGCAGATCTGCGGAGTAGCCTGATTTGCTTTGCTCTCAGCTTGACCCTTCATTAACCTCCTGAGGGAAACTTCTACTTTTGGTGCTACAGATATAGTCTAGGGCCTCCTGCATCCTGCCTCCTGCATCCTAGATGAGTACACCCCGAGCCTCAAGGAAGGGTCTTAACTGGCCACCCCAGACTGCAGTGCCCCACCCATCAAAAGAGAAGCAACCTGCAGCTTGGCCCTGCCTTCTGCACTGGTTACCTGCTGGGTGTCACCATCTGTGAAGGGCAGCTTGGTAGAGACATGGAACATGATCTCCCGGTCCCGGAAAGTGGTGTACACCGACTCCACCCCTGTCTGTCCGTGGGTCACATCCAGGCCTCCTCGGAAACTGCCGTGAAACAGGGCAGGAGCAGAATGAGGAGGTGAAGCGGCATCCTGGTGCCACTAAGGACGGGCAGCAAGCAAGTGGATGAGAAGGCATGGAAGAGCTGAGGGCCAATGAGGTGTAAGGTAGGGAGGTATGGAGGCTGGTTCTTCTGAGCAGCCTAGCTGAGTACCCTACCATCAACCACCTATACGAAAGATGGTAGCTGGGACCTGGTGGCCACATGTTAGTAACCCTAGCACTTTGAAGGTCAAAACAGGAGGATCCAGAGTTTGAGGCCAGTTCAGGCTATGGAGTGGGACTGTCTTATAACACAGCCAAATTAACAAACTAATTTAAAGCAAAGCCTCGAGTTCAAGCCTTGGCTGAACAGCACCCTCCGTATGGCTGTTCAAGTGAGAAGGACATCACCCATTCATAACCCTACACAATGCCTGACCTAGCTCCCCAAGGCCCCAGAGGCTGGGCATGAGCCTTTGCTCTGTCTGGTCAAGAGCCAGGAGAGTCAGTCACTCTACGGGATGTGGGTGAACCCATGGGGGGCTCGGAGCCTTCAAGAAGAAGGGACAGCTGATCAACTTTAAACAGTCAGCCCCTCCATTCACACTTGCATCACCCTGGAAGGAGAAGCTGGGGAAGAACTGATGGTCTTCCAGGAGCGAGCCCTTCTCCCTTCACAGAGATGTGGCTGCAAGTCTGGGACCACAGTCTTCAGCAACTGGGAGGGAAAAAAAATAAGTGCACCTCAGCCCTTTCGGGTTCCAAACCTGCTTTGTCCCCATTACCGGTCTTAGCTCCCTGTGATCTTGTGGGTGCTGTTATGTTCATGGTTATCTCTCTTTATTACAGATAAGCAACTGGACTCTTCTCTAGGTAAAGTCACTGGTCCAACAGCTCAGGACTTGTGAGAGTTCGAGGTGGGGTTTTTAACCCTGGTGGGACTGACTCCAGACTCCAGACAACAGCAGTGACTTCAAAATGAGGAAAAGATGAGCAAAGGGGGAGGGGAAGCAGAGGAAGAAAGCCCTTACTGAACACCTACTGCAACTGGACTAATTGCTTTTCACAAGACGTTAGGTGTTTGTTTGGGCTCCTGAACGTCTTAGGACTCTCAGCCATATGCCAGCCACTCGGTTGGACAGGTCTGAAATATTCCCAAATGTCACCTTTTCTAAGGAAAGTCAAGGGCCAGGGTTTTCCAAACACTAGTCCCAATATCCTAGCTTTCTACCCATTTAAGGGGCTGTTGCATGGACTTCTGCCAAGGGGGTTATTATGTTCGAGTGAAGTCTTAATTATCTGTTCTTCCCATGTTGTCCAAAGTGGGTCATTTCCTTCCAAACGGCACAGGGTTCTCTTTCTCCTGCCAGGTGAGCGGTAGGGAAGGCAGATGCCTTTCACTGTCAGTTTGAGCCAAATGTAATTAGGAAGGTAAACCTCAGCAGGAGCAATCTCATCACGCTTCTGAGGCCACTGCCTTCCAGCCAACCTGTCACTCTGGATTATCCCTAGGACCACTGAGTCTTCAGGAATGCAGGTATGTGAGCAAAACATCAGAAGCTAGAAAAGTCTCCATGCTCCCCCAGGACAGAGCTGTCTGCCCAGGCCCTCACCAAGGGCCTCATTCATGGATGAAGCCAGCCCCTGACAAAACTCACCCTTTGAAGTCCTGCAGTGTGATGGTGTCCCCCAGGAGATTCAAAAACTCCTTGAAAGCTGGGCTCTCCTCATTGTTCCTGAAGAGCTCTTCCTCAAGGGTCTAGAAGACACAAGGAGCGGTGGAAGGAATGAGAAGAAACCTCTGGGTGTGAAGCGAAAGGCATGTCCAGACTCCGGTCCCTTTCTCCCCTCTTCCCTGCTGTCTAGTACGTGTGCCTCAGCTAGAGGACAGGTTAATGGAGGAACACTCTGCAGGGGTAGGCTCTGGCCCTGGGTAAGGAAGCCTTGAAGTCCAGGAGAGTCAGAGTAAAGAGCAGACTTGACACCAAAAGCATGACTCAAAGTAAAGGACGGGTCACAGGCTTCCAAAGCAGCTCCAGAAAGAACTCTCAAAACTAATGTGGGGCTCAGCCAGGCGGCACACACCTTTAATTCTTGGACTCAGAAGGCAGAGGCAGGCAGAGTTCCATGAATTCAAGGCGAGGGTGGGACTACAGAGCAAATTCTAGGCCGGCTGGGGCTACACAGTGAGACTCTGACCCATAACAAAAATTCTACAGTAACCGAAACCACAGTAAGACTACACTTCACAACCACTAGGAGGGGTGTGATGATGAATGACAAGTAAAAGCGTGGGTGGGTTATGGAGACCTCTGAACACTTGATCACTGTTGACAGAAATGTGAACATGGTGGATACCCCGACAACAGTCTGTCAGGCTCTCAGAAGGCTAACCACTGAGCAGTTTCACCCCTAGGTATAAAGGTACATCAAAATACATGGACACACACACACACACAAAAACTTGTGCATGAATATCAACAGCAACACTGTACATAACCCACAAGTGGAAACAACCCAGATTATCTGTGACCAACCAACAGGCTGTTTTTATGTGGTATAGTCATTCAGTGGAACATTACTTGACCTAAATAAGCAATAGATACACATTACAACATAGATGAACCCTGAAAACATTTATCTAAGTGAAAGAGACCAGTTAAAAGTATCACATATATTCTTCTACTTCTCAAAGGTCCAGAATAGACAAATCCACTGAACTGGAAGGCAGACTACTTTGACACAGATTCTCACTATGCAGCTGGCCTTGAATTTGATATCTTCCAGGAGCTAAATGGAATGGGCCAGAGGGATGACTTCCATAGGTGTGGGTTTTATTTGGAGAGTAATGAGCATATTTTAGAATTAGATCATTATCGCCGTGCCACTGAGATCACACCTCAAGCCACCTGTGGAACTGTAATTCTTACGATTGTGAGTTGCACAGCATGAGAATTATAGATTAGGAAAGCCATGATAAAAACTTAACAGTAAGAAAAATTAGAAAATGGTCAAAAACACATAGACATTTCACCTAAGTGGACACCCAGATAGTGTGTAAGCACATGACAAAAACTGTCCAGCATCATAGGCAGCAGGGAAATGAAAACTAGAACCACAATGAGGCAGACCATGCATGTGTCAGAAGGGCTAAATTAAAAGTCAGCAGCACCAAATCCGGCTCACATGCAAGAAAGCTGCACACTCTGATGGGGAAACATCAGAAAACATCTGGCGCTCCAGAAAATGGTCTGGTGGCTACACATGCAATTTACCATAGGGCCAGCAGTTATACTTCTAGGCAATTATCTCCGAGAAATGAAAGCATGGGTTCAAAAATCCAAATCCTAGATAAAAGTCTTCATACTAGTTCTGGTCGTAATTCTCCAGTGCTGGAAATAACTATGATGTCTTAGTGAATGGATGGCTAAGCATAAGCGTGTGCAGCTAGACCACGGAATACTACTCAGCAACAAAAACAGAGCCTAAGTCAGATGACATGGTGACAGAAGCCATGGTGACACATCTATAATCCCAGTACTCAGGGAGTTACCAAGTTCAAGACCAGCCTGGGCTACACAGTGAGAATCTATTTCAAAATAATGAAAGGCTAGAGGAAAAGAAGGAGGGAAACAGAAAAGGGGGGAGGAAGGGACAGAGGGAGAGAAGGGGAAACAAGAAGAAAAGAAACAAACTAGTGACACACTTGAGAAGTTGGAGAATCTGCTGAGAGCAGCCTTGAAGGTTTTTAACTAAAAGGTTACTAAGTCATAAAGAAACGATATACCTTATCAGTGTGGTGCCATCTCAGTGTGAAACAAAGATGGGGAACAGATTATTGGTTGCCAACAGTTAGGAACTAGAGGGAAAAACAGAGGCAGGGGAAATGGGTGTAACGAGAAAAGGAAAATGTAGGGAACTTTGTAGCGAGAATCTGTTTCTTCACCATGGAACCTACACATGGACAAAACAACATGGAGCAACATACATACATACAACATCCATGACACACATACACATGCCACATACAAATAAGTCCATGAGAGGGACCTGCAAGACAGCTCAGTAGGTAAGGGCACTTGCTGCCAACCCTGACAACTTGAGTTCAATTCCTGGACCCACGTAATATAGAGAACTGACTCCTAAAAGTTATCCTTTGATTTCTGTATGCATGTAGATGATGGATAGATGATAGACAGACAGACAGGCAGGCAGGCAGACATTTTAAGTTCATGTGAATTGGGTAAACTGGAGTAATATTTCTATTATGTCAATCATCCTAGTGTGACATAGTGCTGTAGTTTGAGACCTGCCTGGCCTTTGGAAAAACTGGATAAAAGTATCAGACCTTTCTCTGTTATTTCCTCCTATGCAAAACTAATAAGGTTAATAACTACTAATGAAAGCAAAACTGAAAATAATGGTAAACCCTGTAAATAGTGACAGACTTAAAACACTGACAGGTCCTGCCTAATCCATGTGCTCTGCCCACAGAGGCAGGATCACAAACACCTGCACATAAAATTCTCCCAGTCAACTCAAGGACAAAGTCTCCACCAGGTAGCTCTACCTCACCTCTCCTGTGCCTGCTAGAGATGGAACTCAGAGCTTCCCCCACACCACATGCTCTACTGCTGGGCTCCACGCCATTCTATTCACAACAAATAAGAACAGACCTCAGGTTCCAAGCCTTCAAGAGGCCTCACACTCTAACCCATCTCAGCAACTTTATTTTTCTTTTTAATAGTATTTCTTAAGACTGGTGCTGGTAATCTCAGCAAGCAGAAGACTGTGACGGAAGAGTAAAGAGTTCCAGGCCAGCCTGGGCTACATAGCAAGTTCAATATCAGCCCGAGTTACAGTCGCCAAAGCAAAACAAAATTAATCAGTTACACATATGCACACATACTCATGCACACTCATGCATGCATGAGCACACACAAACAGATACACACAAACTGCCTTCAGTTAATAGTGAGGGACAGTGACAATCGCTTTCCAATTAGAGTAGCACTGTATAATTTCCTTTAAAACTAACAGGACAGTTAGGTGTGGCTTATTTTTATCCAACGACCAGTTTAGAGATTCCATGCAACAAATGTTCATACTAAATGTCCCCAGCTGTAGGTTTACAGAGTAACAATTTGCCCAGCATTTTTTAAAGTATTTTATCTTCCTGACTTCTCCCCTGCAGCAGCACTGGGTACATAAATAATACACGGGCTCCTTCTCAGAGGTGGATGGTTAATAGTCAATAATTGCAACTTTGCTGGAACATTGGATTGTAATCACCATGTAAGATATGTTTTGGTAAAATTCACAAGCAAAGAACCTTAATTACAGGGATGGCAGTAGCCATGATGTGTGAAATAAGTGGTTAATATGTGAAAGTCCTGACAGTGGCAACTGGAATCATCTCCCTTGAATTATGTGATGCACCCATGCTGGCCTTCTAGTTCTGAAACCCTTCACCCAGTTAGTGCACTGAAGCAGACCTGTGTCTTCTGAGGTCTAATGTCTTCGGACAAAGAAACCAGCTAATCAAGAAGGCTAACCAACAAAGAAATCAACTAAACAAGAAAGAGATGGCCATGCAAAAAAAAAAACCACAGAACATCAATGAGCTGCCATTAGCAGAGCCAAATTTTCCATTCATTCAATAATCACATACCAATTGACTCTTCTACACACATAAATTTACCAAGTGTATGCATGTATCTGTCTGTCTGTCTGCCCAGCACCATGCTGGGCACTTGTATACAAGGGGAAAATGAGCGTGGAATTTCCTTCCAGAACATGGATGAGGAGACATCGGTGCCTTCAGCTGACCATTCTGCTTGGGACATTTAGTAATGTTCACTGCGGAAGACAGACTTTAAAAACCTGCTTCCCCAGTGAGGGAATAGAAGCTTTGCTCTTTTCTAACTTCCACCGTGTAAATATTTCCAGCAAGGCTGATTTCAACCTACCAGCATGGCATCACTGGGCTCCAACACCCCACTGAGTGATGAGAAAAGGCTAATTTCCTGCTGGGAGAAGAGTAGCTTAGGCTAACCCATTCCCTCTCTCTTATTTGAGTTTTCCTGTGACTCATAGCCCACAGATAAATATAAGTGGAAAGAGCAAGGAAGAATTAGACTTTACTGTGGGAGAACTACACCACCATCTGCAAGACCTGCAGGCCTTCTTGTAAAGTTGCCTTCCTTGAGCATTCAGCTACCTCCAATCCAATTTATGCTTTAAATTTGACAACTGTACTCAGAACATTTAATAACTACAAAGATGCTTACACATCCATGTCTGTAAACACACTATTTACAATAGCCTGGAAATGAAACCAACCTAGATGCCTTATCAAAAGATGAATAGGCAAATATCACACGATGGAATTTTATTCAGCCATGAAGAAAATTGAAATTATGACATTTGCAGGAAAATGGATACCACTGAAAATCATTATGTTAAGTAAAATAAGTCAGACTCAGAAAGACAAATACTGCATATGTGTCCTCTGAACTTAAAAAAATGGTTGTTTGAGACAAGGTTTCTCTGTGTAGCTTTGGAGCCTCTCCTGGCACTAGGTCTGCATACCAGGCTGGCCTTAAACTCACAGAGACCTGCCTGTCTCTGCCTCCCAAGTGCTGGGATTAAAGGCGTGCGCCACCACTGCCGGCCTGAACTTAAAAATATATGTGTGTCTGCCAGCCATGGTGGTGCACACCTTTAATCCCAGCACTAAGGAAGGAGAGTCAAGCAGATCTCTGCATTCAACGACAGACTCGTCTATACAGTAAGTTCCAGGCCAGCCAAAACTACATAGTAAAACCCTGTCTCAAAATTTAAAAATCACGTGTATGTGTGTACTCACATGTATGTGTGAGTGTGAGTTTGTGGTCATGAAAGATGAAGCGATCTTAATGAAAGCAGGAAACAGAGTGAGCAATGGAGGCTGTGTAACAAGAAAGCTTGGGGGGGGTGGCGAAAGGGAACCAGCTGAATTCCAGGAGGAGTGCAACGGGGACAGAAAGGAAGGAGAACAAGGTATAATGCACAGTGATGAAGATGCCAAGGTTAGTTTATTAGGCTAAGCTAAAATACAAAATTCATAAAATGCTCTCATTGAAAAGTAAGAGAAGGGGCTAGAGAGATAACTCAGTGGTTAAGAGCACTTGCTGGTCTTGCAGAGGACCTGAATTCAGTTCCCAGCACCCACATCAAGTGGTTCACATCTGCCTATAATTCCAATTCCTGGGATTTCAACTCCCTCTTCTGAACCATGACCTGCACTCACATATGTATATATACCCACACAAAACACATACATATACACTTAATTAAAAATAAGACATATCTTAAAAAAGAAAGAGCCTAGCTCAGGACCCTTGTGCTTGGGGTAGATAAATAATGTAAAGTCATAAACAGAGGCTATGGTGACCAATGTGAACCATGGTACTTACCTGCCTGGCTTTTTGGTAAATAACCCCAAACTTGAAAGTGTTGTTGACATCATGCTCATCATAGGACACAATCATCTGAGAGGCCTAAAAATTGTGGAAAAGAAAAAAATCAAGACTGAGTCAACAGGAGGCAAGGGGAAAAAATGAAAGGCATGCCCACTTCGTCAGAGAGTGGACCTAGAGAAGAGACGGCCACACAGGCAGAGGAAGAGAAGCAAAGAACTGCCCAGTGTCAGAGTGATGTCCAAGGCCCTCTCTAGCTCCCAGCACCTGGGATATCCCAGTGGCAGCCAAACCTCCCATTCTGACCATCCAGATGTGCCAGCCACAGCTGGGACATAAGGAACTCACTTTACCCCACAGTTTTATTTGTGGTATAAAAAATAATAGTAAAGCCAATCCCGTCCCCATCAAATGGCCAGCTCTAATTCAAATTCTTTTCAGAAATGTAAGTCTGAGCAAGTAACTGCTCCTACCCAGATGTCAACCCATAAAATGAATGCACTCTAGAAAGATGTACAAAGAGAAAGAGACAAAAAAAATCCCCTGGCCACAGGCTCTGGCTACGCTCCCCCTTTGCCTCATGGCATTGGTATGTAAAATCACAAACACGTAGGTCTGATTTTGAATCCAGTGCTTTGAGCTATGTGGTGTTACATGGCCAGGCAACCTCCCTATGCTTCATCTCCCTCCTCGGTCAAAGGCAGATGTGGAATTTCAGAGATCCAACAAGCCAAGGCACGGACAGTGGCAAGCATGGAGCAGCTCGCGCTGTCACCATCCATGGAACCCTCCAGAAATACCAGAACTCGACCAGTTCATGAGAAAGAGGACTGAGGAGAGAGAGTGCTATTGGGAAACATCTACAACACAAAAGAGGGACTGGCCATGTGCTGTGCTAAAGGAAGAAACCTGGCTTGACTTGGCTGAAACATGCAGCCATGACAGGCTGCCCCATGACAGGCTGCCACTGCACTGTGGCCCATGACAGGCTGCCATTGCACTTTACCTCTGTGGAGGCCGCGGCTGTCTGAATGACAGAAACCATTCTCTGGAGTGCAGGATATTGCTGGTGTCTACGGATGACAAAATGACTACAAAGGGGCATCTGAGGGAAGCGTTCTATGCAGCTGAGGATCCTACCACCAGCTCATGGCTCCACAGACACACATATGATTCTAGGAGTGCTGAGCCCAGTAGAAATCATTTACGATGTGGTTGGGGATGTTCTGAATGTCGGATCAGGGTGAAGGTCTTGCTTCCCAGCCAGAAATTTCATCTCACAGCTCCTGGTTGTCAGGACTGAGGCTTGGGGGATGGGCAGAGATGACCCAGCAAGCTTTGGCTGCAGGTGCAGGGGCCACAGCAGAAGCCATAGCGGAAGCTTCCATTTCCTCCCAGAGTCTCTGCTGGCTTATGAATGCAGTCAGTACACAGGGTCTTTTCCTAAGGGCAATTTCAAGCAATTCTCCACCATGGGTGATTTAAGCACTGTCATGCTGTAATTGCTGTTGACTGCGTTTGTTGGTTTGTTTTGTTATTATCGCTTCTCCCCACACACATCCCCATGCCAGAACTGGGGTCAGTATCAGGTCAGTCATAAGAAAGTCAGTATCAGAGAATCACCAGTTTATTAACTAAGGCCAGCAAGGTTTAGAGGACCTCAGAGCTGCAGTAAGATGGGCAACGGGAAACAAAGTTTCGACCTCTTACTTCCTAGTGTACTTCTGGGTTCTGCACCCCATACCTTCATGATGTCAGGGTGCATCTGACTGGCTTTCCAGGTATAAAGAGAATCTGCACAGCCCCAACCCTGGCCGCAGAGAAGTAGGGCTGGGGAGGGGTAGAAACACTTCAAAGCTGCTACCCTCCCCACCAACCTTCAAGCAAGTCAGGGACCTACTCAGCTAGGCTGGAAGCCCAGGCATGACTGGGGATGCTTCCCAGGGTACCAGTTTGTAGAGGGGTAAGTAAGAAAAGATATAGATCATCCTAGAGACCACGCATGACCCCTCCATGATGGAAGGAACTCCTCCATGGAGCTCCTGCTGCCAAGTGAAGAGCTGTGAACACGAAGGTCCTCACCTTGGGGTACAGGACAGGATTGAATTTCAGCCCCACTGCGTCATCACAGAAAGCCTGGGCAGGGAAAGAAACACACAGGTCAGGAAGCATGTCTGTCTATAAAGTACACACGGCTCCTCTGCCCACAGACAAAGCATTGTGGGAGGACGAGGCACACAGGGTTCAAATTCTGCTGCTCACTAATGTGGACCCAGGACAGTCTGGAAAACATTTCCATTCTGACTAGAAGACAATACCAAAAGCCATCACTCCCCAACTCCCACAAAGGGCACAATTTTTCTGGCATTCCTGTATTCAGACTGGATATATTATACATATTCAGAGTGAGGGTCCCACTCGGCCCAGCCATCCTCCCTTCCGACTCCACTGTGCTGACTCCATTCCTAAGTATCCAGTCACTCGTGTAGTGACATGAGCCCCCTGGCCGTCCCTTCTTCAGGGTGGGGCTGGGGCTGGATCACCCTCAGCCAAGCCCCCACCCCTCAGTGAAAACTCCCTTGGCTATCAATACCCTCCTCTGAAGCACTAGCCATGGCCAGCCCTGCCTTCCTACTTCTCCTGTCTCCTGAGTGAAGTAGACTATTCTGCAGGCAGCTTCTGGTGCAAGGATTAGATGGAGCAGGAGAGGGAGGGAAGACGGAGGAGGCAGCTGCTAAACCATGTCACTCCATCCAGGCAAAGAGCAAAACCGCCTCCCAGTTCCCAAAGGCAAAGCCTGAATCCCCACCTCCAAGTGAGCCCTGAGTTGACAGAAAAGGCCACCTTCCCTTAATTTTTGTTTTTTACCTTGGCAATCTGAGGGACACTGGGCAACTTGCTCAGTCCAGCCAAGGGAATCCGCTCATGCACAGTCTTCAGTTTGGACCTGTATACAGAAAGGGTGAGATAAGGCACCCATGAAAGACAGTCAGTGGATACAGCGGCCGAGGTCACACCAGGCGGGGTCCTCCGTTTGCTTCCATCTCTCTGGAAACAGGGCTGCCTCCCCAGACAGCCTTGGGGATACGGACACCACACTAAAGGTGGGAAAACAGACTCCTTCTGTGTTCCCCAAGGATGGTAGATACTTAAAGATCACACCTAGAAAAACAGCTGATGCAATTAGCCACCTTCAAGGCCACCATTTTGTTTTGTTTTGGTTTTTATTCTCCCAGAGAACTGGGCCCAGCTTATGGATATATTTAGATTTTGACATGCAAATGAACCTTTATGAAAAGTAATCTAATATTTGAAAATCTGGATTTACTCAAAATACAAATGGGATGGAATCTGCTTGGGAAAGGGATTCAACATAAGACTCTAAATTTAGCCTGTTCCCTGATTCATTTAGCACATTATCAAAGCACTGAGTTTCACAGAACACTGCATGTCTGCTTAGATCATCATAGGATTTTTAATCCGTTAACCTCGTGGGTTATAACTCTGTTAAGCCATCTTTTCATTCCATGGGTGAATCCCAAGTGTTTGTGATGAATGATTTTTTAAAATATTCTGCTGAATATAATTGGTTGTTTATTTAGATCATCACATCTATGCTCCAAAACAATACTGGCCTCTTTTTTTTTCTTCGTGTACCTCCCTTGTCAAATTTCCACAACATGGTAAAAATTATTCCAACCAACCAAAATCACAGGATAGTTCCTGTCTTCTGAAATGATGTGTGTGAATCAGGATACTTTTTCCCCTTTTTTGGTTCACTAAAGGTTTGCTATAGTATATGTGTGACATCTCTGGGCCAGCTACCCTTTATAAGAGGCCCCCTTGCAGTTCTTTAGTGGTAAACATATAAGTTTTCTACAAGTCTATTTGAATAATTAAAATTTTTCCACCCAAGTGCCCACGACATGCATTGCTATGAAGTTGTTTTTATGACCTCAGGCTTCATCATTAGCCGCTGTGTCCCTCCAGCATACATTAACCTTGGCCCGTTCACAGGCCAGTTTTCTACTTTGTTCTGCAGTGCTGAGGCTAGACCCAGGCTCTCACATGGGCTAAGCAAGCGCTCTCCAAACTCGGCTGCACCCCATGGCTTGCCTGCATCTGCCCTGCATTCTGCTCTTAGCTGCAGTTTACCTACCACAGCCTTTCACCTTTTTCATATATGCTTCTGCTCCGCTCGCCTGTCCTCCTTTTCGCCTCCTTCTTTCTCTTTTCTACCGTCTTTTCCTGGCTTATCAGCCTGCGTGTTTATTCATGTAGGCTTTCTCCTTTTTCACAGACACATCTGCAGCCATGCATCTGTGTGTAAGTGCCACCTTAACCGCATCCCACACGCCTTGATAGGTAGTGTTTTTACTGCCATCTTGTTCTAAATATTTTGTCAGTTCTTCTGTGATTTCCTTTTCTGCCCACAAGTTATTTAAAGGGACTTTGGAGAAGAAGAAGAAAAAAAAAACCTTTCCAAATACAAGATTATTTTCCTCTCCAGTATTTTATTGTTGGTTTATAAATTGTCACAGTCTATATGGCATTATTTAAAATTTCCTAACAATACATAGACTTTTTCAGTCTCCTTTTCACATTCCATGTGGACTCTAAAATGATGTATTTTTTTTTATTTTGTTGAGAGTAAGGATATAAGACTGAACCTGTTTACTGTACTGTTCAAATATTTTATAGGCCTCACAATTTTATTCTGTGCTAGCCATTGTTTTCTGAGAGTGGTTTTTTTTTTCCAATCAGAATCTCCCACTAAACTGAAGTTTTTATCTACTCCTCCCTGAAACTCCGTCAGTTCTTGCTTTGAGGCGTTTGTTTGCTGTGTTTCCTTGCAGGGGTCTGAACCTGTGGCCTTGCACACGCTAGGCCAGGGCTCCCCCATGAAGCTGCATTCGCAGCCCCGTTCTTGCTTTTTAAACCCAACACCGCCTCACCAGTACATGTCCATGTGTCCTCAGTGGCCTGTCCTCTTCACCTTTTTTCTAATATTTATTTTTTGGGTATGGATATTCGGCCTGTTGGTATGTCTGTGTACCACACGCATGCATGGTGCCCACAGAGTCCAGAAGAGGGTGTCAGATCCCCCTTGAACTCCAGTAATAAACAGTTGTGAGCTGCCATGTGGGTGCTGGGAATTGAACCCCTGTCCTCTTAAGCGCTAAGTCATCTCTCCAGCCTCCTGCCTTCTTTACTATGAGGTAGGCTAAGGCCTATGAGGGAAGCCATCAAAGAGCATTTTATCTACTCTACCGTGAAGAAACTCAAATCAAGGTAACAAGGGAAGGGAAGGCAGTGAGGAGCTGAAATCATTCCTTTGTTCCCGACAAAGACCAAGCAAGAACACGCAGCTCCGTGTGACCATAAAACAAATTTAGACACACTTCAGAAATCACCTACATCTCAGGTACTGTGAGGCAGGGGCAAGAGCCCTTCTGTAGGAACTGCCTGGGAGAAAACTCCAAGGGGAAAGGGGAGAAGAAACATAACTACATATTAAGTTCTTTCTCCAGAACACAGCTACCAGCAACAGGGAAGAGAGCCAGGGGTGCTAAGAAGCAGCAGTCTAGTCACACAGTGGGGAGCGTTGGGAAGGAGCATTCCTAGGTGACAAAGACATGCTCCTTTAAGCTTAATGCTTTTTGGGTGGGATTCTACACTGTATTTTTTTAATATCGTTATGCCAGCTTTCCTAGTTATTATTTCCCTTGTGTGTCTTTATCCCTTCCCTTGTTCTAAATCTTCCCATGCCATGTTATTTTCTTAATAATGTCTCCTATAGCAAAATGAAGCTGCACTCTTTTTTTTTTCTTTGTTCTTTGGTTTTTGAGACAGGGTTTCTCTGTATTGCTTAGGAGGCTGTCCTGGAACTCACTCTGTAGACCAGGCTGGTCTCAAACTCACAGAGATCCACCTGCCTCTGCCTTCCAAGTGCTGGGATTAAAGATGTACACCACTACTACCCGGCTGAAGCTGCACTCTGATCAACCCTGATTTTCTAGTATTGTAGTAGATAGCTTAATCTATTATATTTATTGTAAACACTAACATGTTTGGAATCACCTCGAGTCTGTCATTTAATATTTTCTATGGGTTATTCTCTTTTCTCCTTCTCTCCAGCATTCCACAGAATGAAGTTCTGGGTGTTTGTATTTTTGCTTGCTTGGTTTATTATTCTGTCCTTCCGTATCCTGAATCTCCCAATACACACGCTTACAGTTTTCCCAGCAACCTCTGGAACCCTGCTGCATGCTTCATCCCCTGACTTCTGCCCATCTGTCAACCTTGTTATTTTTGTTATAAATAAATACAGATTCAACCTTCTTTTTAAACGTGCCAAAAATGATTTCTTTTTCCCAGTCAGTATTTAAACTTGTCAATACTATTTACCTATTTCTTGTAACTTTTTAGTTGCATCTCTTCTGCTGGGTTCTCTTTCCTTCTGGCTCCAGTGCATCCTTCGGTGACTCTTCCCGGCGACACTCTGAGAGACACACTGCTCTAACTTGTTTTTTAATGTTTGAAAACAGTTTAATTTTATCTTCAGTAGTAGCTTCTCTGACTATAGAACTATGGTTAGGACAGTTCTTGTTCACTTTTACAACACTTTAAAGATAGTGTCCAACAACTATTGTGACCAAAGGGAAATCTGTCACCACCTCAAAGACTGTCTTTAGCCTCAGATGGCACTGCCTTGAGCTTTGATTTCTGTTGTTTCACTTAAGCATGTCTGCCTGTGTTTTTGGTTTTGAAATTATGATACACAGTGTATTTGTGAGACTTCTGCAACTCTCACCTACCCTCAGCACCTAGTTCTGGGTAATTATTCACTAGTGTCCCTATTCATTTCTCAAACTCCTGAGACAAATGCAGAGTCCCCACCCCCCCAACCCCCCACCCCCAACCCCCTGTCTCGTCTGTTGTCCACATACCTTGACTTCTTTTTCTTACTCTTAAGCTTTTTATCTGCACTATGTTCTGAATGGATTCCTCAGGACTATCCTCCAATTCACTCTTCGAAAAGACTAGATTTTATCCTGTGTGTTAAGTTTGTGTCAACAACTATTTTTCATTTTAATTCTAATTGTTCTCTTTATATACCCACTTGCTCCTGATTCAACTCTCTGAACAGCCATTTAGGACCCATTTGAGAGACGCTCTTCATTCTTCATCTTTCTTTAGGTGAAAGCACATCATTATTTGCATTTCAACAGCAGCAAATCCCTCTCCCATTTGTTGACATTCTGGAAGTCTCTTAATGTCAATTTTTCCCACGTTGTTTGGAGCTTTCTTCTCAGTACAAGCCATCTCAGTTCAATTCCCATCATGGCTGCCAGTCCGTCCAGTCTGGGGGAGCCAGCCTTTTACACAGTCAGTTGGCCTGGATCGTGATTGCCTGCGCTCACTGGGCTCGGCTGGGCTCAGCAGCCTCCTCACCCACCTTCCTGCTGTGGCTTTGCCTTTGCTACAAGCTGTTCTCCTCATTCTGGCCAGTCCATCCATTCTACAGACCTGACCATGGAGATTTGGGGGTAAATCCAAACTTCCAAACATTATGCTTGGTCTAGCTTTCCTCTAGCTCTCTAGACCCATCTTTCGATCCTAAGCAGACTCAGACTCACATCTCACCGGCTTGGAACCATTCTCAATAGCTAGCTTTTGCACCACCCTGAGCAGCCTATGAAGATCCATGACCACAGGCAGGAAATAAGGAGGCTGCAGGAGCAAGAACACTGAGAGCAGGCACTGAGAGTGACGTTCAGTGGTAGAAACTTGCCCAGCGTGTGCAGCCATGGAGCTAATCCCAGCACCCCGGCACATGTTAAGTGCCGATTAAACAAACATTGAATGAATAATGCAGCTCTCACAATAACTATTCTTTATATTGCTAAATAATTATTTCTTGAGTATCATAAGTATGCTTTATAT